TGAGATCTGTCATGTCTACTCTTTTATCCCTTGAGGAGTTCTTTAAAGTAAAAAAAAAAAAGAAGAAGAAAGAAAACAACTAATGGAATCTCACGCTGTAGCGACAGGTCATTTTTTCCTGACATGTTTTCATTCCGCGTCTCGCCTTGTACTCCTAATCGGACCTGATCTGATGGGAGTGCCCATCGTCATGACAACAAGGGGGTACGGTTTTGTTTCCGTGGCGATGACTGATGTCGAGCACAAAACCCGGTGTCTGAAAGTTCTGAAAATGACACCCGGAGATCAGACAGACGGCTGCGAGGAGAGGTGAGGATGGAGGTTAGAGCTTTGTGTTTGGGCGGCGGGTGAATGAAGTTTTTAACTCAGACGGGGGGGAAAGCAAACTGAACCACCGAGAGCCAAGACGGATTAAATATGAAGTTTTCCCACTTAAAAGAGGGGACAGCTCGAAAAATCAATTTCAGTGCAAGAAAAGCCAATATTGCTATAGGCGGGATGGAAAATGAATATTTATACTCCTCATGCTGTGGAGCTGCAGCTTTCGTTGATGCTTATTTAGTCGTTTTTGATGAAGAATCCTGCTATTGATATTCCAGCCAATCGTTAAGGAGGTTGCAGGGATTTGAAAGGAGCCGCACAGCATGTACAAAAGTGTCGCTTTAAATAGGGCTGCGCCATTATTCGAATATTGATCGGCAATTTGGTGTCGCACAAATAAAAGATCATTATTTACTGTTTAAGGTTTGTGCACTGCTTTTAGAAAACAGCTCCTTTAAAAAAAAAAAAAGATAAACTCCTCAGTTTAATCTTTTAAAATGATTTTTCAGCCACATCAGTGAGAGTTGCTGCGCTGCATTAACTGAGTGGAGACTAGAAGCTTCCCTGTGCACAGCTCACTATCGAGCATCTACAGTGACATGTATTCATGCCCTCCCATTAAAGAAGGAAAAAAAACAGCTGTCACTGAAATAAGATGAAATTGACAAAAGTAATAATAAATAAAAAATTTATGAAAATCACGACATTGCTTTTGAATTGTGGTTCAACAGAAATATTTCCGAAAAACCAACAAAAAAACAAAACAGGTATTTTGATTTCACTGCTCATCAGCAAAGTGCTCTAATTTGTCTGAGACTGTTCCTTTTTTTAAAAAAAAAATATTCTTTTCAACCATAATTCAAAAGCAATGTCTTATTTCACACAATTAAAATTTAGCAAATTTTTATTTATTACTACTTTTTTCAGTTTCTAGTTATTTGAGTGACTTTTGTGAAGTTTTTCTTCTCTAATCGAAGGATATGAATAAATCTGAGGACGACTGCACATTGGCCTGCATATGGGGCGTTTAGGGAACATCTGTAAATTTTAGAGTCCATTGATAAGCAGATGTTCAACAAGTGATGCTTTTAATTCCATTTTCCCTTTAAGAGCTGCACTAAATTCAGTTGAAGATAGTTTTAAGTCTCATTTTGATGCAAAGATTTGCACATTAGCAGGACAGTGAAGTGAAGCCGGGGCGCACTGCTCTGTTTAGTTAAACAAATAAACATACTTAAAAATAGTTAATCCACAAATTTAATTCTAATCAGTGGTTTGTGCGCGAGTCTCGCTGCCATATTAAATAATGTCTGGAACCATTTTGCTGCACCAAGATCAACTCAACATGGAGGCTTTGAGTCGCTCAGTAAATACGTTCCTCATAATGAGAGAATCAAGTAAAAAAAAAAACCTTCGAAATAAAATAAAGCAGACGGATGTGGGAGGAACAGATGATGTATAAAGGAAGATGTGCACTGGGGTTACACTTGAGTTCTAACTGGTGAAAAGCTGACGTAGAGTCTAGACAAGAGGCCTCATGGAAATGGTGAAAGGTAGCAGGTGAGTGAAGGGAGTGCAGGCGTCTATTCATTTAGTCATGCAAGTTTTAGTTTCATCAGTGCACAAAAGTGCTCTTTACCAGACACGTTTCACTTAACCTACGGGTAAAAAACATAAAAAAATACCGGCGCTGTATAAAAGCTGAGGTGACAGTTCAGCGATGACTCAGCTGACCTTGTGGCACGCCTCATTCACTACATGTAAAAGTGTCTTCCAAAACACCTTGAAAATAATGAAGTTCTTGTGTTTTTTAAATTGTCTAAAACGCTCAGGAGACAAGAGCTCCAACATCGAACCAAAAGACCAGCTGAGACCGTGTCACTTCAGCATGACGGCTTTCATCCTCTTTAGAAGGAAAGAAAAACAGAATTTAGTTGATGTACGACAAGTTAAATGTACAAAAGGGCTTTCAGTGGTAAGAATTTCATTTCCGAGCGACGTGTTGCCGCTGGAATTAACAAGGTGTCCCACACACAGAGAGAGAGAGAGAGACAGCAGTTTAGGGAACTATCAGCTGTCAGCACAACAGAATGATTTAGAGTCTAATTATTTCCAAATGCTGCAGTTCACAGAGAAATTCACCGCAGAGCATTTCCGCTTATTTACTTCAGGGTAGTTTGCTCTAAACCGAACAGCTAGTTTAGCGGCTGGTTGTCCTGGAAGTAGATTTGTCTCAACAACATCTAATCCACTGGGCGTTTTTGTTTTTACTTCCATCATACGGAGAGAGGATTTTGAAGCGATTCACGTAGAAATTCAAGCTTAAGGAGCTTTAGTGTTAAAAAATAGTGGACTTTTTTCTTGAAGATTCATTTCATTTTATCCTCAGCGAACACCTTTGATTCATCAAGGTGACTAACATTCAGCACCTGGATTTATCAATGCAGGATGTCGGCGGCATTAGCTTACATTTAACCTGCGCAAGGTTAACGTTTTCGCTTGATATTTCACCAACAAAATCATCTCCAACATATTCCTACGAGAGCAAGGTCGTCTCCGCCACTCATTAAGCTTCGAAGCGAGGCCTCGTCTCCTTACATAACACGCGACCGCCTGATTTTACTACACCAAGTCACGATGAAGCTGTAGTCGGAAAACGCCACAGCCGTCATCTCTGACCCGCCTCACCTCCTGTTTACTGGACTGCACCGCGGCCACCTGGTCGCAAACGCGCCGTCCATCTGGGTGAAAGCTTGAAAGGAGTAAAGTCGAGGTGCCACACGGCTTCGACAACTATTTTCCCTCAAAAGAATCGAAATAATTCATCTGTGTTCCCTTTAACTTTTAATCCTTGGAGTCAAATAAAGTTCACGTCTAGTTCCACATGATCTGAACTTCTCTCGACTCGACATTGTGCCACTGATGTTTATTCACAATCTAGTGAATAAACGTATTTTTATTACCACCAAATGTAAAAAGATTTAGCTACACTCTGCTTCATATTGTACCGAGAAGCGTTTCATTCCATGATGACTGACAGACTCTTCCAACATCCTCCTCATCCGAAGTTCTTTTCTTTGATCAGACATCTCATTCTGACATCTGTCAGGAAAGATCTCTTTGGAATCCTCTCCCCGATCCTGATTTCAACCATCACTTTGGTCTGCACTTTCTGGATAAAAACAGCAGCTGTCTTCCATTCTGAGAGAAACCTTCAATCAGCAAGGCAGCAGACATCTTGAAATATTTCTGCTGACTGCATATTCTCGCCAGTTTAAACCAACTGATTCGTAACATTTTGGAAATGACAGAAAAAGGTTTGCAACACAACATTCCAGAGAAACGTTTTTTTTTTAGCTTGAGGATTTCGTGACTTTGCAGTAATTACATCCTCCCTCCCTGAGATTGTTCTGTTTCTGTGCCCCACTAATTTTTCTGCATCCATTTATTTTGTCCCCCCCTTTGGACTGCACGTCCAGCTGCCTCCCTGCTGCAGAACGAACGACGGTACAATCTTCAGGAGCCACTAACGGTTTCATTTCGGCCCCGGTGCATTTCTCCAGCCGCCTCTCAAACGTCTCGCGACAAAATTAATCTGTTGTTTCTGCGCAGGAAGGCCGATCTGATGGCTGGATGGATCGGAGACGCTGTTTGTTGTTCCCCTGATGAAGCGTTAATGCTTTTGTCCTTCCCGTTGTGTTATCAGCGCTCCACTGTGACTCTACATCAAACCTCAGCCATCTGCAGTGACGGAACAATCATTTCCTGCTGATAATGTCCTTTCTTTATGGAACTGTTATTACACCAGAAATTAATTAAAGAGCAAATTGGATCATTAAATGAATTATTATTAAGATTAAATGCATTATCGCAGAATTAGTGACAGCGACTGGAAGAATCATAAATGCACTCGGCGGTGAATGTAACGGATCCATTCGTCTGCCTCTCGTCCAAAAAACAAGCAAAAACCACCAAACAAGCACGAAAACTAGTCTATTTTTACATGCAATACACTACTGAAAATACTTAATTTACCTAAAAAAAGGGGGAAAACACCAGCGTTTGCACAAGAAGTCATAATTTTTCACTGCAATATAAAATCCTGCACCTCTATGGAAACAGAACAATGATGGCTGGAAGAGGAGAGAACTCATAAATGTCTTTTACACAGCATGAAGCAGTTCTAATGTCATAAATCACAAAAAAAAGATCATTTCTTTAAAAAAAAAAAAAAGAGAGATGTATATAAAAAATATAACCACAATCCTAAGTACAAGAAGTGCCCAGAGGTGTTACCAGGACTAATAAAGTAAAGGTGGTTCGACATGCTATAGATATTTTACTACTTCAATCTTTAATTTGTTTCGGTACTCAACTCCTGTCTGCTCTGAGAAAACAAAGCTCAAAAAGTTCTGTCACTGTTACTAATTTGCTGGGTTACTGATGGTTTCGCAGTTGTGCAACGAAGAGCAGATTCTTTAGTTCTTTTTGGAAGCGAAAAGTTTAGATTTTGAAGAATTTTTAAAAAAGATATTGAAAAAATATCCAGATTATTTATTTATTTATTTATTTTTACCTTAAATTTGTTTGTTTTTATTGCCAAAACTGAACAAATGTTTAATTTGGGCTTCTTTTTTTTTCCCTTTTTTAAAATAGACTTTAATAGACAACAGTCTGTGTTAGTTGCGTACCTCAAACTCTTCTGCAATCTTGGGTCCGTCCAGGAACAGTCTGGTGCTGAGACAGTCCACTGGGCCAAAGTTAGCTGGAGGAACAACAACAGAATGTCAGTTTGTGTTCATGACAACGTGGAGTCCATGTTTCTAAATGTGTCTGATGTACATGTGTGTGTGTTTCCTTCTGAACTTTCTGTAGCTGAACAAGCAAAACAGATTCTGCTGTGGTTCTGCTGGAAGGACTCGCAAAACTTTCAAAAACATGATTTATCATAAATTTCAAAGGCACCGAGATCACTTTGCATTTTCCATTTCATCAAGCCTGGACTACTGCAGCAGCCTTTTCACCAGCTTGAACCAAAAACCTGTCGATCGACTCCAGACTGGACAGAACTCAGGTTTTACCCAGAACCAGGAGACACGATCACATTGCTCCTTGTATGTTTTAGAGTCAATTCTACTGACTAACTTTACTGCCAGAAGCTTTCCTGAGTTCATGTGAGTTTTAATTCCCTCTGAGCTGTCTTTTATGTCCTTTAAAAAAAATATTTTTTTACATTTCCCAGCACTGTATTGGTTTTATGGACTAATTGTTTTTATCTTTCTTCTTGAACGATAATTTCATGCTGCCCCCGTGAAGCACTTTGTAACATGGATTTGAAAAGTGCTCCATCAATAAAGATTATTATTTCTTAAACTCCATTAACTTTTACATCTGGTGATATGCGAGCGCGTTCACAAGCGCCACACATCCACAGCAAAAGAGAGATTCTGGAGAACTTCCAGTGTTTTAAATCAGAAATGTAATTAGAACAGACTGAATGCTGAGCTGAGGGTCAGGGCTGTGTACAGTGTTAACCTGAAGGACTGTACAGCAATTATAAATGCTCACAAAGGGGCACTGGCAGCTTGGAGCTAACAATGCCTTGCTCTTCAAAGCAACAATTAGGCTCGGGTTAATCCAGGCAGCTGAATGTTTCCGCAGCTGCTTCAAACAACTTCCAGTCAAGTTTGATTCCTCTTGAACCCTCAGTGTTAAATCTCCAGCATCATTGTTTTCTTGCTGCAAACCTCCCGCTACCTTCTTCAAACGCTGGTGCTCATTTCTCCCTTTAGTGCTCCTGAACTGCCAAATTCCAGCAGTTAAAACATTTCTACCAAATGGCTGAACTTTATAATCAGTGTTCCTGACATAAGCTTGGCTGGTGTTAATTTCAAGGCCCAGTAATAATACAAATGAGAACGATGGCGTGTGTGTGAGAGAGAGAATGAGATCAAGTATCACAAACCCAGACCTGTTTAATATAACAGCTCCAAACTGAGCACATTGAACTAATTAAAAATTCGGATTAGGGATGCAAATTTGAGGCAGTTTCCTTAACTGATAATCAGCCGCGTTATCAATAGGGATGCACACAGAAAAAAACAAATGTCTTAACCGATACTCTGCAGCCTTGTCCATCAATAATTAATTAATGTATAACACAAAATTAATACAGTAGACTTGGTTCCATTTTTTGATGAAGAGCCCACAATGCTCTCTGCTTGCCAACACAACACTGCCTCCTCTGGTCGTATTAAAGCAAGTTTTCCATCTGTTTAAACGCCAAGAGGTTCCACCTGGTGGCGCAACCAGGTACTACAGCCAATCTACAATACATTTGATGGCGCGTCTGAGCCTCATTAGCTAATGGTGTCCATTACTAGCTAAACCCAACAAGACGAAACCGCTCGTAGTCTGAGCGACCGCCTCCTCAGGTCTCTACAGTATTAAAACACAAATGAGCTCCAGACTTCCATCTTATAAACCCGTAGAGGTTTTGGCCTATTTTGGCCGTTTTTGCATACTTTGAGTTTAGTCTTTATATACCACATAGAAACTTGTTTAGCGTGCCCAAGTTTGGTATCTTTCTTTTCAGCACAACATCATCTATATGATCTGACAATTATTTTTTCACTTTAAACTACTATATTAACATTTGGGCTCAAAAACACACAAAAAAATAATAAAATCTGATTTTTAAAAAAATTAAAAATTATTACAATAAAACCAACAAACATGCCTAACGAGGCATTTTGAAAGTAGAAATTGTAAACATAAGTTGCAGATGTGAATATAAAAAGCTAAAATTGATATAAAATCAAACCATATTTGCAACTACAGCAGGTGTGGCTTTCTTTCTCTTTTTATCCATGCCACTCCTGAAAATAGTTTCTGACAGCCAAATCACAGGACCTGCCCTTCCTGGGATTTTCTTTCACTTTCGTTTTGTAAAACGACAAAAAATGACGAAGATGTTGAACAAAAGCGACGCCTGCAGCATATATTTCATACGCTTATATTTTACACGCCTTGTTTTTCACGCACATTCATAACATTATATCTACAGTTTACGTGGTCTATCGACATGAAACAAAAACTGAGAGAGAGTTTAAAGTCAGCACTTTTGAGTGAAGTTGACAGCATCACTGTACATGCGCTAGCTCGTGACGTCTCGAAAATGTCACATGATTATACCATGACGGTGTGACAGCGGACCTCTAAGGGTTAAACTGTAAGAGGCTGCACCTGGTGGCACAAATAGGTACTACAACTAATGTACAATACATTTTCTAGCATGCATGGTACTCATCTTTTGCCTTATTTGTTAATTCATTTGTAATTGTCTCTGATGAGAGTCATTACCCGCTACAGAGGACTACGTCATTGTGGTCTGTTCCTAGCTAAACCCAACAAAGCTTGCTAAGACGAAACCGCCTGCAGTCTAAGCAACCGCCTCCTCTGGTCGCTTCAGTACTAAAACACAAATAAGATGCAGTCTTTCATTTCATTAAAGAGTAGATCGGTACTACAATTGATGTAAAATACATTTTCTGGCATGCATGCCCCTCATCTTCTGCCTTATTATTATTGCTATAGATTAACTGATCAGATTAACATCTGGCCCACTCACAGGTGAATTCCTTGAACTCCTGGAACACCTTGGGGTACATGGCTGCTGACATCACATCCTCGGGGGTGATCTCTTCCCCGTGTGAGGCCCGGAGCCCCTCCTCCAGAGCCTTGAAGTCCATAGGTGGCAGGGAAGCGCCGGGACGACCTTCGATGCGTGGAAGGGCCTTCAGCACCTGTGGCAGGAGGTCGAAAGAGGAAAGGAGACGGAATCAGAGGAGGCAGGAGAGAGTAACATAAAAAGGCACAGAGAGGAGAAGGAAACAAACAATTTCATAAAAGTTCTCATTCAAAGTCATGCAGTCTTTGTGAGTCTTTTCCCACTCATCACAGGCCCCCGTGGGACGCTGAAGCATGTGGGAAGTCGAAAGTGATGGTAAAAAACCTTCACGTTGTACTTCAGAGCTATATATGTGGATAAAAGCTTCAACCTGTCAAAGCACTAAATTGGTAGAGATTTTGAGTGAGAGGAGGAAGACGACTCAGATGCAGGAGGAGATGTTTTGAGGCACAGAGGAGGAAGAGAAACACTGGAAATCGAGGAGAATGCAAAACTTATTAATGCACGTTGTTTTTTAAAATTTGCATAAAAGCGGCGCCACTGTTGTGTTTAGCTCTGCAGTCATTTCCACTTTAGTCCCCCTCCATCTCTCCCACAGTTCATCTTCTTTTCCTTCCACCAAACTTCCACCAGCACATTAACGCCGAGTTAGAAAAAGGAACGGAAGGAGAACAGTGTAAAAGCGGTGGCTGCTTTAACACTAATGATACGACAGTTTATCTTCTCACACAGTTGTTGGTGTCTGACACAACTTGTCGAGGCAATCGATTTGAGGCTAATAATAATGTCTGGTGAAGAGATTATGTTAAGTCGGCGAATAAACAGCTATTTTCCGTTTTGTTTTTATTTTCGCAAATCTCACAGGAGACGGGGAAAGGAAGGAATCTCCATACAATTAGCCTGTTTAGTCGGTGCTTCGGCAAATGTTTCGAGGAAATAAACTTTTTGTGGTACCTTCCTCGCTCCGTGTAGGTTTCTTTCTTTCAAAACATTGTCACCCATGCTAACATACTATCAGTCATCTTTGTGTTTACACTCATTTACCCTTTCAACAGCACTGCATGCATCAAATTAAACCTTCAGCTGATCCCGTGCCTCCTGCGTGCACACATACTGGGAGTGTTGATGCATACAGGTTGCTAAGGTGTGTTTGCGCTACCCTCCGCTTGCCAGCGTGTGCTCTCGTATCGTCACTATATCGGCATATGCAGATGAGTGCGTGTGTGTGTGCCTCGCAGAAATCTCCAGACAAAGGACCCGGTGCAATGCTATTAGTCACAGAGCTAACAGTTCAAAGATAGCTGACTCATTTGTGTACGTGAGAGGAAGACACTTCAAAGATGGCAGGCTCACTGGAGTCCCTGCTCATTAACATCGTCTCCTCTGAGGATGTCTTACACCTAAACTGCTTGATTGTTTAACTGTGAGACACAGATAGCGGCTGAGAGTGTGTGTGTGTCTGCATTAACAAATGAAGGAAAGTCTTCCTCCAAGGTTATTTGCTCTTTCTCCTCGTTTCTGTCGAAGCTGCTCAAAAGCACACTCCTGCTCTTTATTCTTTTTTTACTGATTTTTCTCATCCCCCCTTTTTTCTCCTGCTCTGAGCGACGTGCTGCATTTTTAACCATAATCTTATTTAATTCACTTTCTTTCTGATGGCATCTCCCTCCTCTCCTCTCCTCCCCTCGCCAGCCATCCTCCCACCGTTTCACTTCCCTCCCGTGACCCTGTCTTTCTTGTTTTCCTCTCCCCTGTCCGTTGTTTCTGTCCACCCACGCCACAAACGAACTGAGCGTGACAGAACTAAGATGGGAAACAACTCAATTACCGCTTTGCACTTTTAAGAAAGTTTACCCGATGCATGCAAACAACTTTTTGACAGGCAGCGAGACTGAAATGAACGCATGTGAAATAATTAATAGTTAATACCTCCAAAGCTCCATGAAGGAGACACCTTCGTGCAAATGTCACCTTCGGCTGCAGCACTCTTTAATGCAACCATATGAAGAGGTGTGGCTTTGCTCTAATGCATATTTACACCTCAAACACACACCCGACAAAGCTATGATAAACTTAAGATCATGAGCATCTTATAAGATAAAGCGCTGTTTTAGGATAAATAATGTTTCTTCTCTTTAAAAAGCTGAATTTATCTAAGTTATGTAAATCAGCTGCTTGGAATCGCATCCCCAGACACGACGTCTACGACGGCAGCATTTATCAGAAACGCTGTGAAGGGAAAAGTAAGAAGGACTCGCACCGAAGTTGAACTCTGAATTTCAGTGATTAAAAGGTTATTGTTTAAGTGACTCAGGAAGACGGAGAGAATGAGTTCCTCAGTAAGCTGCGTGCCAGACAGCCCCTTTGGTGTTTGTGCATTTAATATATCGAGGGTGGATTGTCAGAGTATGAATATCTGTAGGAGAGATTTAGAGCAATAGTCTGGCTTTTCTGGCTCGGATGAGAAACTGGCTGCAGTTCATCATGTGTTGAGGATTTACTCAGAGTACACAGTGATGATGCGGGCTACAGCTTTGACATATTGTTTAAAAATGAATGGTGTATCATAGAAAATACGTTGTACAACACCGACGGGCCGGAATACAAACACGCCCCACTACAGCACACAACAGATGGCGGAGGGGAAAGTTAAGTGGGCAAAAAATGTCAACTCTGGCATTCAGGTTCGCATCATCTCTCAGCGGGAAGTATTTCAATGCTGAGTGGAGATGAAATGAAAAAGGACAGCGGAGGATTTGATTTAATACAGAAGCTGTCCACCGTCCTGATTATTTAATAGGAATTACTCTCCTGTGCTGAATTTTCACTTTGGAAACATGAGACCGTCGGAGAAACAGAAACACAAATGTCAAACTGGACAGGTAGCAGACAGAAGGCAGGATTGTTGGTGATTTAGCCTCACAAACATTTTACTATTTTATTTCCCCCAAATAAAGAGACAAGGAAAGGAAGGTCAAAGGTGGAGTGTGAGTTTCACAAAGGGAAGAACAGTGTGTGGAGATGAGTCCATAAATAAATGGATGGAGAGACTCCTAAAGCTGTAAGTATACAAATAATTGAGCGACGAGCTGAGATGAACCGAACATGGCAGAGAATAGGTGATTTAAGTATTGCACAAATGCACTGTAGCTGCATATATAAGACACAAACTGTGCCGGTAAGTGCAGGTACGGCCTCAACAATACATCTTCTGCAGCGGTCAGCTCATTGATAATGCATTATGAAAAGGACAACATCTGTGAATGTTAGTGTGGAGGGAAAAAAAACAAAACATCCGCCTAATCGTCTTCCTAAAAAAGAAAAAACTGCAGTCACTTCTTTTTTTTTTTTTTTTATTCTCCCTGCAAATGTCAAGTATGCCAGTATGTCAGCAGGGTTTTTTTGGGGAGAATGTGACACGTTTGCCTTTATTCATGCAATCCTCCTGAGGAGACTTCAAGCTGTTGGGCTCTGATGTGCACGAGAGTCTCTACGTCGCTGTTTGTGAAACACGAGGAAGTAGGTGGAGGTGAGGAAACAAAAGAGACGAGAGGACGGAGCAACATCACGGCTTCCTTCGCTGTTTTGAGGCGTCCTCCCGGGGACGGGCGACTGTCAGACGTAACCGAGCGTGTGACAGAGTTTGTGTGTGTGTGTGTGTGTGTGTGTGCAGAGTTACACCTTAAAATGGGCTTTTCAGCATGTGTTTGTTGAACATGTTTGGTACATAAAAGGTAGACATGAAGGAGGAAGTGGAGGAGAAACATTACAAGGTTTGGATGAGTTATTTTTAGGGATTGGCTGTTTCTTTTTATTTATTTTTGGTCTGACATTTATTAGTAATTAAGAAAGGCAGATAAATGGTGAATGATTTGGAACTGATATACAATAAATATATGTATTAACAGCATGTGATAGCAGAGAACCTGTCATTTATCTAACAGGGCTTCTTCGTTATTAATGACCACAACAACTGAATATGTAAAATAAAAATTGATGACATCAGAGCGTCCTGTGATGCTGCCTCTTCTCTCATCAGTTTATCTCTTGCAGTTAGGTTGCTGTTCTTCTTTATTTTTAATCTTTCACTGGTCACAAACCATTTTTATTGCACATCATGATTCAGATTTTAAACATTTATTAGTTATAGTTTTCCAGACACTGTTTCGGGATAATCTGTGGCTGCCTCCTAACTCCGCTGTTAGATTAGTGTTAGGCACAGTGAAATGAGCCATTTTCCTAATTTGTGGCGAAGGCCGTGTTCGGTTTATGCAGGTTGCATCGCGTCTGGCGGTTACAGCAGATTGCTTAAATCAACCTCACTTCAGAAAGACGCCACGGGCGGTCACAGGTTGACAGTGAGCCTCTTAGTGATTAGCAACATCTGCTACGTCACCTTCGAAACACGTGCGCCGTTTTGCAAATGCACTCGTCTGTCCCCGTCTGTAAATCGCTTTAAGCGCTAATTAGCCGTTACTGGTGACGTGCAACCAATGAAATATAATCATAAAGACCACAGAGTGACTACAGAGAGGAAGCCAAAGTAGCAGTTAGTAAAATAAACACCATCAGTTTTTATTTTATGATTCAAATCCCTGTTGTAGTTTTATTTATCTAACTACATTTAGAGTGCTTCTTTAGATGTAAATTTTTGTTATTCCATGTGCAAAATTAAAGTACTCAATGAAGAAAACTGCCTCTATGTGTGTGAATCCAGGAGAAACTGCGGTACCTTGGACCTGAGCGGCTCGGGGAAGCCTCCATGTGGGATCCCGATGTAACCCTGCAGGAACTCCACCACTGACAGCGGGAAGGACAGCTCGTCTGCCCTCTCCTCCACCTCTGCCCGGGTCAGGTTGTTCTGCACCATGAACTGGGCCAGATCACCCACGATCTTTGAAGACGGAGTCACCTGGGAAAGAAAGAGAGGTGGTATTAAAGACATGAGCTCACATTCGCTTCCTTTAGCCGTCAGTGAGGTTTTTTTTTTTCTACTATTTCGCCACAGGCTGAGCAAAAGATATTAGAATACAGCCTCTCCACACAGATATCTCAATTTACCGGCGACAAGGAGAGGTGCTGTTATTTCTTGCTAGTCTGTGACCACTGGCCTTTTAATCTGACAAATATCAGCATTTTGCAGAAAAAAAACACTCTTGCATGAGAATATATTCAGGGTAATACCACAGTTTTCTACAGCGCAATGGCTTAATCTTGCAAAAAGTGGGAGCAGTTGCAGCCGTCTGCCAGATCCATTTTTCTCAGTGAAGTCCTGCTGTGTTGTTTCCACACAGCAGTGCACAGGTAGGACCGCACATACGCAAAAAAAAAAACAAGTGGTGACAGAGTCTTTGTTTTAATGAAGATGCTGTCTGCAAAGATTAAGCACTGAGTGACCCGGAGAAAGAGAAATGAAGAGATGTTTATATCCATACAGTCTCTTTAATCATTTAATCTGGCAGCTATGAAATAAACCACACAGACCGTCTCCGTGAAAACAGAATGAACCTGAAAATGAAGATGGAAGAAGAAAGAACACAGAAAAACATTCATTAAAATCACATGTATTCATTCTTTCATTATTTATAATGGCATATCATTATGGTAATAGCGATCCCTATTAGCATAATGGTGATAAGTGGAGTCCTTTTTTTTTGACTGCGAACAGGACACTGATGCAAATATCAATTGCACACATTACTCTTCTATTGGGAAGATTACAGACGCAGGTTTAAAGCTTGCTGTTGACTTGCATGTGATACTTAGGCCAATTGAAGGGAGAAAGGGGTCAATTAATGTGATCCATCAGCGTTCTGTGTCAGAACCAGACACTCTGGTTTGTACTCGTGCTCGGTGCTGCATTTTTTATTATATAGTAGGCGAACAGATCAAAGTTGAAGAGAGAAATATGACAGTCTCCCACATGGAGACCCAGCTTGTTCAAAGTTTTAAAGACCCCCTGTGGTGAAAATCAAGTTCATACCTTGATAACATGCCCATATGGTGTTTTTTTATATGGTGGTAGACGCATCGTGATTCACTTTGAAGCCGCAGTGCGCTGACGACAGTCTCAAAAACACGGATTCACACAGTCAAAGTTTTATATGTAGCCAACTTAACTTTCGGGCTTTCAGAATCGGTTTCTGGATTTAACATGCACGGCTTGCCAATATGTGATGTTGTTGTTTTGCAGTGTTGGAGCAGAGTGAGCTGGTGTGCTCGAGCTGCTTAGATCTGCACGTTTTAGAGGAAGCAACGCTGTAGAGTTACATCGAAGCCATTTTAAGGCACAACAGGGTGAATTTCGCGGGGAAAACAACTTTTAAATATGTAACTGTAAGCGTTTAGAGATTTTAAACTGCTCTCCCATTTTGGTGCTCGCCAGCAGAGCGACAGTGTCCTGTTTAAAGCCTCCACCCATAGTTTGACAGGTTGTAAAGTTAAGCATTGACAGCTGAAGGACTAGCGAGAACAAAGAACGGGCCCACACTCTACGAGATGTCTGTTTTTTTTTTTCTTTTTTTCTGTGGCAATTAGTTCACTCTGAAGACGGAAGAAGAAAGGCAGAAAGAGAATAGATGAACAAATATAGATCAAGTTGACACTCCCCGAAGAATTCCCCAACAAAGAACTTGACACCTGTTTCTGGGAGATGTGATGCCAAATTATCGAGAGTGAGACATGAAGCGCTCGCGTCCCCTCTGGGATTCGCGCAGCCCCCCCGGGGGTTTGGGTGCTTGTTAGGCTAGCTGAGCTCCTGGGATCACTGAAGTCTTTCAACAAGCGCAGTCGAACTTGTGTGTGTTTTGTCTAAATGCCTTTGGTCTTTGGAGATGACAGGACTACCGACCACCTCAACCTGACCTTCAAATACCAACAGTATTAATGATGGAAGGAAGGCCACACTTTAAAGTCAACCTGTATGTTGTATCCTTGATTACAAAAGTCTTAAAAGAGTACTTTAGTAAGGAGATTTGAAAACTAAAGGTGTATAAAAAAAAAGCTTCTCCCGCTGTGCAGCTACGAAATACATCAGAAAAACTGCAGCTGCGTTTGCTCTCCTGACAATAAACTTTGGAGAAACAAGCCCATGACGCCTGTTAAGGTCGGCGGCCACTTGAGCAGTGTTAAAGGAGCCTTGCAAGCAAATCAGCGCTTTTTCAGCAAGCTGCAAGAAAAGGGACGCTTCCTGCTGATTGGAACAAGTGTGCACTTCCCTACAGCACTTCCCTGCCACAACACTTAAAGCTCAGTTTGATTGGGTTTGTGAATAGAGGAGATAATGATACATTGCTTTTACTGAATGACTGTTTACAGAAAAGCTTAAGAGATTTGAATGGGCTGTTGAAATCCCTGGAGAGGCCATTAACTTGGTATAGCTGAGGAACAAAAGCTCACTGCTGAGTTACTCGAAATCTATCTAAAACATAAGAAAGGAGCATGACTGTGCATTCCTAGTCTACCTTCCCTTCGTTTTCCATTGTTTTCTCCGTCTCGCCGTCTCCGGAGTCCATTTTTCTCCCCCTCTTCACTGCAAAGTAAATAACTGTTACTCTTCTCTTTATTATCCATCTTCCAGAACCATTCCTCTTACTCCAGGCCTCTCGCTATCCTAACCGCTATCTTCTGTCTTCACGCTAAAAGCCGAGATGTTGACTTCTTGCATCGTGAATCAACTTAGTCCCGTTGCCATCCTTCTTATCTCCAGTCAGTCTGCCAAATGTTTCTTTCTCTTGATCCAAGAGTGTTACTCTCATTATCAATCTCCGCTGATGAATCATCCACCTCCAACTCTCTCTGGATGCCTCACACACACACACAGGAAAAGGAAATTATATTTTCAGCATGGTATGAGCTATACGTGATGTGTGAGCTTCTCTATATTTTTAGACGAGCAGTGAGGTAAATCACATCCTGGCTGGGTAAGAAGAATCTGATTTCCTCCGTTTGTGTGTGTGAAGCTGAGCTCAGACTCTTCACTCTGAACTGCAAATCTCTCTCAGTCTAACAGATATGATAGTGTTGTTGTGTCAGGAACTCACATTTTCTATCTTTTATATACAGAAAACATAGTTAAATTACATTATTAGGGGGAGTTTAACTGGACTGATTTAAGTGGATTTCTTCTTGAATCTCGGAACAAAATGCAAACTGGTAGAGAAAGTGGGCTGGTGTTGTATCTCAAATAAGTTTGCTGAGAAAACAGTGAGGGTCCACACAAGGTCATTAACAGAAAAACCCAACCATTAGCTTTGTGTGGTGAAGTAAAAATAATAATTGGACACAGAGTGGTGTTAGAATAAAGGTCTTTGGCCAACTATCTCAAAAAGAGTAAAACAGAAACGTCAACATAGGTCTCGAGAGAGTTCTTGAGATATAAAGTTGTACGAACAGCATGTTATATAACTTCTCTATACATGAAGATTAGCTGTAATAGCTGATTGTACTGTTTACTACGATGGAAGACTACAGGGAGGTGGTTGCTTGGACTATGGACAGCTCTGTGTTCTGTGCTAGCGATGTGCCACCATGACATCTGTGGCGGTTAATGGACTCCAGATAAAGCTCTCAAGACAAGAAAACGTTCCTATTGCTGAGCAGCCGATTTACCCGAGCCTTTATTGATCCTGCATATAGAATATTGTCTGCTGGGCTTCATTCTTTCTCATAATTCATTATTTATTGAGAACGCAACCAACTATCTGGACTAAATGAATCACCATGCTTTATGGCCATACATAGACACTGCACTGAAAACGTCAAACTTCATCGCGGTGCTAGCAGAAAGTCAGTCGGCTTTACGCTGTGGAGGTCATGATTGTCTGTCCAGATATTTACAGCAATCTATTCAGTAACAGAGCCTTGAAACCAACTCACTGACATTACCATTCCTGGAGCCACAGTACAATCCGTAATGTATTTTTGTGCACGTTTCGAAGGATTGCATTAGATGGATAATTTATTGGAAAATGCAAAATCGCTTGAGTTATTTTTATTTTTTTCCCCCCATAATGGCACATGGAAACACCTTTTTAAAACAGGTTCTGACTGAACAAACAATGAACTCACTGCTGATCAGCCTTTTCTGCTTCTTTCTTTGTCTTTGTGTCTGGACAACATGACAGATGGCCAAAACCAACTGACTTGAAATAAGAACGACAATTTGGACTTTTCCTCATTTTTCCCTCATCGACTGCCAAAGTTATGTTTGTTTTTCCCTTTTCTGTTTTTTTTTTTTTGGCGGCCTGGTTTTGCCAAATCTGTTTTACTTACAGCCGTGCGTAACGTAGCGTACACTGCCACCTTCTGGCGACACTACACAGCCTGGTTTATTTGCTCCAAAACGGTTTGTGCACATTTTCAAATTTTTTGGGGGACATTTCACAAGTTTGTTTGAAATACTGGAAAGACGACTAGGAAGGTATGGTTACTGTTTGAATTATCTATGGTCGTCATTGCATCTGTTCCACAAATGCATATTTTACCAGAAATGAACACAGATTCATCTAAATCGAGGCTCTTTATCACCACAACTGTCCCGTCCCGCCCTCGTCCACCTCCAGCATCTCTTTCTGTTCTCACCACCTCCATGTTTCTTTTCTCCCACATTACTGTTCTCCTGCCTTCTGTCCATCTTTCTCACTTTCGCTAATGTACAGCTCCCACTAAGTGGTCCGGCGTGACTCCCCTCTCCTGGCAGCACAGATCTGGTACAGTGTTAGAGAGTGTACCAACGCGAGCATGGCAGCGATTTCCAGTGAGCTTGTGTGCCTGTGTGTCATGTGTCTGTGTGCTTTGCTCAAATTTGTTTTGAAAAGCGTCTCTATCCAAACCTGAACTCCCCTAATGGGCAAAGGATTATATCATCCAGAACAGCGAGTGTGTGTGTGTGTGTGTGTTAAAGAGAGAGAGAAAAAGGCAAATACAACAAACACACACACTATAATGCGAGGCAGCCAAGCCAGCAGCAGAGTGAAGAATGGTACCTGTCAGGAGAGGAGGAGACAGGAGAGAGGAGCGATAACAAGAGGCTCAGGCAAGGAGGAGGGAGGGAGAAATGATAGAAAGATTAAGGATACATGAAGGAAGTCTAATCGAAATGAGGGAAGGTGGGAGGGAGCGACGAAGGAAGGGATGAGGCGAAATGAAACCGGAGAGGGAGAGACGGCGGACGGGGTGATGAAGAGAGTGACAGGAAGAGTAAGAGGGAGAAAGAAAGGGATGGACAGATTAACCGAGGGGAGGAGAGACGGAGGCAAACAGACAAGAGCAGCAGACATCTGCAGCCCCACAGGCGATACAAGGAGGTGCTCCACCTCCAACTATAAGAGACTGTGTGAGTGTTTTCACAGTGTGGAGGTGAGTGAATACGTGCCTGTAATTGCAAAAGGAAAGTGACAGACTAAGTGAGGTGAAGGGCAGAAGACGGAACACCCTCACAAATACATACACAACTTGTCCTCCTTACATGGACACGCTCGTTTTGCGACGGATGAAGCTGAGCGAGACGGAAAAGGGAAAGAAATGAGTGGAAGTTAAAAGCAAAGAAACGGAGGGAAAAGAGGTAGACTTTAGTTACAGCATGTCGGTGTGAGTTACAAACATGCCACCCTGTAATTTCCTGTGTGCTATCTGCATGCCTTCTACACACACTACATAAAGGCTCACTGTCGGCGAGAACAGCTACATTATTAAAACATCACCTGCAGGCATCTGTTCATGTATGTTTTGCTGGATTTCTCTATCGCTAACTTTAATCTACTGTCAAAGAGGGTTTGTCAAGCTCTGGTGTGACACTACAGCAATGTGGTCTGTGCAAGCCGGGCAGCGCTACGTGACCAGGAGGACGATAAGTGGAAGAAGAAAGAGATTGGCATCCACCAAAGGTTACATGTTACAGAGCATTCGCATGTAAAGGAGAAAAGGTCTATTTTTAATTTGTTCAACATTGTCAAGGTTCCTTTTTCAGTTTCACAACAACACTACATTTTACCATAAGAACCAATTTGAAAGCTTTACTGATACATAATGTGAAAAACGCAGCAGAATTTTAATAACGCAGTCGAATATTTAAGATAAAAGTAAGTTGAATTCCAAAGTTGCCGGGGGGGAGATGTGAATTACTTTGAAAAATAGCATTAATTTAAATGGTAAAATACTAAAAATTACAAAAAGAATGAAGATGCTTCGCAAAACGGCAATCAATCTTATCCCTAAGAGGATTCTGCAAAATGAAGTCAGGGGGCTCTATATTACAGACACACAATTAACACAAGAGCAGAAACTGGAAGACATCATCCTACTTTCCTCCTGCTCCAAAGTCCTTTTGTGACTAATGCACATTTAACAGGTGTGTGCACACATACAGTACTGGCGTTTGACAGAATGCCGAAACTGCCCTCGCTCAGATCAATAACTGCCCTCTTTCTACACAGGTTTTAAATAATGGGGTAAAAACAGTTCACCTTTCACAGCTCCTTCTTCCACATCCATCATTCTGCTGCCTGCAAAATGCCCCTATCTTTCTGAACTTTTTTATTTTATTTCGCTGTAGCAAGCAGTGTGGTGAACAGCCACCACTTCATCTTAACTGCTGCACATGTAACCTGCGTGACTGCTGCGTGATCAATAAATAAGATCTGATCTGGCCTTGAACATCCTCAACATCCAGTTAATGCTGAGGAACACTCCAGAGACCGAGGATGTTTTTATGCCCTCTGTAATTGGTAATCAACTGCATGGATTCAGGTAGATTTGGTGAAATGCTGGGTGATCAGCAAGCGATGTGATGACTGCACTCAGCTACACATCTGGAATTATTATTAAGCTGTAAAACAGTTAGGCTTAGCAGCATTTTTGGGAAAGTCTCTCGGTCTCCTGCGTGGCGTTTGATGTCGTTTGGTATTAAGTGGAAGCCAATGAGCCTAAGTCCCGGCGTCTCTTTGAATTTTTAATCAGGCTGTTCTGTCAGTTCATGCCGTACAAATATCTTGATTTCCTAATTCAGGACGTGACACCAACTGCCACGAAAACATGAATTAATAAACTTGGCAAAGCAAACAATCGCTTTAATGCAAATCACTTTTATGCAAATGCTTTGATGGTGATAAAACTTTTTTTTGTTTTTTTAAAAAAATCCAAAATAATTAGAGTTGTTTGTCTTTTTTCATGAGGGGAGTCGATGCTCTTGATAAGAAAAAAAAAACAAAAGGGAGAAAATGCTTAATTATTGATGTAAAAAGTTTCCTGGACACTAACTTCATGATTCTTGGCTGACAGCTTCATAGTCATGACGTCTGCAGTGATGTGTGGGGGATCGCGGTGGAGGCACGTACGCTGGATGGATGCTCTGCTTACTGCCGGTGCAGTATGTGGTGCGTCTACTTTATGTCTAAATCTGACAAGCAGCCTCCTTCTCCCTTATCGACAAGCCGACAGTGTGAGAGGCATCGCCATTGTCAAACTAACAGGATACAACTGAGAGCATAGCAGGACTCGTAGGCACATTAAGCCAACATTGGCTTGTGCAGTGAAGCCCGCCGAGTCTTAATTGAATTGATAGAGAGCATGGGGAGAAGGTAGGGGAGGTCGGGGGAGAGAATTGATGAGGAAAACAGAGAGGGGGGAAGAAAATTAAGGAGAGAGGGGACCAGAGAAGGAAAATTGAGAGAGAGACATAAAGAGAATAAAAAAAAAAAAGGGAGGTGGTGGAGTAATGGGGAATCCATGGGAGCATGTCTACGACGAGATGGAGCAAAATAAGAAAGATGGCAGAGGGATGGCGAATAGAAAAGGTGAAAGAGAAAAGTGAGACGGGGGTTTGAGAACGGGAACGCAAACAAAAGAGCAAAAATAATTACAGAGTGAGTGTGAACACAGCACAAGAGGGATGAATCTATTACTACGGTGTGATGGTAAATAACGAAGGGAGGAAAACAAAAGGAATTAATGAAAGATGATGAAAAACAAAAAGGCAGGCAGGAGGTGAGTCTAGGCTGAGAACGAAATTGTTGACTGCAGAATTGGCAACGGAGGCCTCTCTCCATGACAGCGGCTAATGCGCCCTTCAGAAAATTAACCCACAAACAGTTCACTGGAGTTTCTCCTCAAATTAACATGAAGCAAAAACAACGTAGTATCAAAGCTGAATAAATCAGTCCAGCTCAAGGTAAAACGAGAGGATAAATGAGCATAATGCAGAAGAAGAACAGTTTCCCAAGTTAGGATTAACAAGTCTGGTAAAGGAAGGAGAAAAGATATGAAAAGGTGGGTGCACTGAGCTAAAGGAAGCCAGGGAGGGTAGAAAAAACATATACAGTGTGGCTGAAAGTGAACTCAGACAGCACAGAACAGTGGATGCACCTAACTTAATCTGGGATTGTTTGGTTCAGCCAAGCCATGAAAAAGGGGCAGCCTGGCAGGAGCAGCCACTGTGAGCAATGCCAATGAAGGAATATCAACAGCGTGCCAAAGTAGCAGTTGTGTTTTTGGCAGAGCGTTCCTCTCAAACTGCTTTAGATGAAACGTATTAAGGAAGGCAGCGAAACTCTCTTGCAAATGCATGTTCCTGCAATTATAAAAGAGTTATTTATGTTTCCATCTGTATTTCAGTAGTAGATGTTCTTAAAGGTGATAAAGATTATAATTACGGACTTTACCTTTAAATCAAGGAGTTGTGGATGTTTTACTACCAGCCAAGTGAAATTAGGATTTGCTGGCATCGGTAATTACAACAATGATGAATCCTCAGGGGCCCTGCGTACATTTATTGTCCTATGTATCTGCTGTACGATTCCATACCGGCGTGTCACCGGTGAAACTAAATTAGGGCCGAAACTGCACAGCTCGGTGATGAAAAACCAAGAGGGATTTGTCATGTTTTATCTTCATGTCTCACCTTAATGAGGTCTCCTAGTAGTTTATTGGCTTCAGCGTATGCCTTCTTCACCTCCTTGAACTTATTTCCCAGTCCCATACTGTGAGCCTGCAATGAACCACAGTGAAACAAATGCCAGAATAAATGAGCAGAGTAAAAATAATCTCTTTATTATTTCCCCATTTAAAGGGGAAAGCCGGGGAGCGCTGGGCGAGCCAGCTCCATCCTGTGATTTAAAGCAATAACTTGTGACCAAAGCTTTTAAATTTAGCAAAGGCCAGATGGGCCGTCCTGGTATCCCACCGCAAACTGTCATTTTCTGCACAGCGTATTTGTTTAACACTTGATATAAACGGACCACAACTGGTCTCAGATATGGGCGGCTGCAGGGTTTTTGCAGGGGATTCAGTCACTTCTTTTTTTTCCAGGATTTGACTGGGTCGATACTCGTCATGTGATTAATAAACAAAGTAAGTTGTTCAAGCAGCATTCAGTGTTTCTAAAGCAGTGCTGCTCTTTTCTTGTCACATTTCTTGCATCTACAGTTGCTTTAAATAAAGAAACACAAACATTTAAGAAGGCATTTCTAAAGAAGAGAACTCTAAATTCGAAAAAAATGTCAAATATCAACAGTCCCTGCATTTAACAGTGATGACGTGTCTGATGTTACACGGTGCCAATGTTGCCTCATGCACAAACCGGCTTCTATTCTCAGTGCAGAAATGAGAAAACACAATAAAAAATAGAAGGATAGCTCAGCGTACCTGGAAGTGAAGGTTGGTGTACTGTCCTCCAGGTATCTCGTTCTCGTAGACATCAGCGTTGCCAGATTTCATGGTAGCGGTGCAGTCAAATGGAGCGTACAGGCCTCTGGCTACCTCCCAATATTCACTGTAGTCAAACACCTTCTCCAGAGCAATGCCTGCAACGCAACACAGTAAAACAGCATCAGATCAATGGGAACCGTGCACATTTGTTTATTAGACTCAATAGTATCGATGTACAGTAATGTCGAGTAATTTTGCTGCTCGTCTTAAGAGAACAAAAGGCGATAACAAATGCAAAGTTCGACAGAATATGCGGTCGGTTTGGGTTTAGTCTAAATGCTGATACACATGAAGGCTGTGCACAGAGATACGACCCTAATTCTGCTTTTAAGCCAAATCTGCTCTCTTTTTTTTCCCCTGAACATTTTTGGCCCCTTACAGCTAAAAAGAGGGAAACGATGAGATATTCACCACAAATATAGTTGAATTGTCCTGGAAGCTTACGTGGCAGCCTGCCATTTATCTGCATTAGTCATATCACTGACGAGTGCCAGCTAGTCAATTGTGGGCTTATGCGGTTGATTTTAATGTATGAAAATATAAACAGGATGTGAAAGTTGGTACAGTTCTGACAGTGTTTGGGGAACTAGAACAAGTGTCTCTGCTGTTTTTTTATTTTACTATTCTTAAACTATTCAGCAGGAGAAACCAAAACGCTGTAGTCTGCCAGGATCTCACTCTTGACAACTGGATTAGAGAGTAGTGCACTTCATCTCCTCTATCTAACTGTAGGTAAAGTGTACTATTAGCCTGTGAGTGTGCTTGAAAGCTGCATTTTCATCTTGCCTTTTTCTACATCTGAGCTGCTCATTAAATCTTTGTGAGATTTTGTCGTCCTTAAATAAAACATCTGTTGCTCAGATCCACGACATTCTGCCGCTGCTGGTTAAGGTGCACTAAAGCTGATTACCTTGAAAGGAAGAAATCTGCTTTAATGCTGCGACAGAAATGGCAGCACGCAGAGCTCTTGGCTAATGATGACAAAAATCATCCATGTTAATGAGACAAACTTAGCTTGTTACTTCCACAACAACTGAGTGACGAGCTTGTGTTTTTATGATTTAAACAGAGCGCACACTCCAAAGTGTTTGTGTGTCTCCGCTGTGATCTTGGTGGGAGAATGGCGCTACTGTGAAATTAATGTGAAATTAATCTGCATGTTGTTGCTCCTCGAATTCAGCCGCCTGCCAAGCCGGGCTGTAATTGGGTCCATTTCCTTCTCTGTTTGCGAACACCATTTTTGTTGCATTCATTTATGCCTCCATTGTGAAATTACAGTCTCAGTTTACAGGGGGAAGGGACGCCATGTTCACGGAGACAGCAGACAGCAGCTTTTGTTGATTCAAATGGAAGCTTGAGTCAATTTCACCAATAAGCAGCACCAGCTGAACACCTCAGGCTCCACTTTATGTACTCACGGTTTGCAGTTAGTGGACAGAAGATATTTGCAAGTTTGCACATAATTAGGAGTAACTGACTTCTCACATCTGAAAACAAACTGCATTCTGTTCTCCTGCACTGAGGCTGCAAAACCCGCCGTCGTCTGGTTGCTTCCATGATGGACTGCTGAACGTCGCCATGAAATGTTGTTTCTGGAGTTTAACTGCACTGGAAGTGTTTCAACACACCCACATTTGGCCACATCAGCATGCAAATCTACGTCTAAATCTGCAGATATTATGTTCAATTACGCCAAGAATGCAAAATTTGGACACACAAGTGCGCTTAAATTCCTCTAAAGACAGAACTTAATGCATATCACAGAGGATAAAAAAAGATTTAAGCCTCATTTGGAAGAATTAAGATTACAAGAGAAGGTGGGAGATAAGATTTCCCCTGCAGTCGCTGGTAATTTAATACACTGTTCTGGACGGGATTTTAAACTTGACAGACGCTCAGAAAGACAGTAAACTTCTATAAATCTTAAGCTCGTTATCTTCATTTATGTGCGATGAGCTTAAACAGCAGTGGTGTCTGAGAGAATGTTTGACAACTGTGTTAGAAGATTAACCTCAGGTAAAAAACCAAACAAACTCTGTTTAGTGTGAGTCCTTTCCCCCTGAATCTTAGTGTTAGCTGCAACTGCTAAGTTTGCACAGTAGCTACATTCATGTGAAATGCACAGGACTGCAGTAAAACGGAATTATCCTTTAAGGTTTCTCTAAAATTATTATGATTCATCATGTGGAGGTCATGAAGAGATTCATGGCGACCCATCCACTAGGCTGGCTGGTGAGCATTTACAGAACTACATCACGAGTGTGGCTTCTCAACCCCAATCAGCCTGCTGCACCGCTGAGGTCAGGGACTTAGTGAGAGGTAGAAGTTGTAGTTTACCACTTTAACAAACCAAAAAAAAAAAAAAGCATTTTAGAGTCACGAGCTCCAGACTGTGCGGTGGAGAGGCACCTGGTCCAACAGCTGAGCTGCAGCGTGTCCAAGAAACACTGTTTTCTATAATCCTACAGTTTGTAATCTTCCCTCTCTCCGTCTAATCAGCCAAACACTACACCTGTGTGAGCTGGAGAGTCCTAAATTGTTAAAAATGATTAATAATCTTCATTTACCAGAGAAGTGCTTTGGCTAGAAAGGATAACAGGTCCAAAAAAGAAAGTTGGCCGTAACGAAGCACCAGCACTCTGTTTTGTCTGCACCGTTTTCTGATATTGTGATAAACTACCGACTAAATCACGCTGAAGGTTTTCTGCTCTGTGGTTCTGATCCCAAAATCATACCCTGTAAAGCATGTGTATGTATTCCACAGACAGCGGTCCATACATCACTCATTAGGGTGGCAGCTTGGCAGCGACACTGTGCCATCAATATTCAACTCATTAGCAGCACAAACGCACTAATGCAGGATACGAACAGACAGAGACGCACATATATTTGAGTTTGTAAATGTATACACACACTTTCTGCAGCAACACAGATGAACACAGCTAGAAAACGACAGTCACACAGAGTTTGTGGTTGATGTGACAACGAAAGCAAAGCGAGACGCATAGATGAAGACAGATGAGACACCAGAGGATGGAGGCCGAAAGACAGACGGGGTGAGAGAGATGGAGGTGATGCTAAACATCCCTGTTGCCTGCCTCTTTGTCTGAGCTTTGACTACTGCGTCTTGAACAGCTGCATTGTTGTTGCAGCTGAAGATTTTTCAATTAAGTCCATGCATGATGCATGAGTCAAGGCAGTACATGCAGTGCGTGACAATACGTGTGACTTTTAAAATGCCCGAGTTTGTGCTCACGTTGTGGCACACTGAATAAATAAACTGACAGCTTAAAGACAAATGAATCGAGCAGAGAAACACTGCTTTTGACATTTCTTTGGAACAAAGAGATACTGTGAGAGATGCTAAGGGAGTGGAAGGGAGAGAGCAAGGAGAGGGGGAGTCTGAGGGAGTGAACTAGGCATGGAAAGTGCTGTTAATTGCTTTGTCACCGAGTGAGGGGGAGGGAGGAGGAGGAGGACGGAGGGACAATGTGAAAGAAGCGGGGGTGATAGGAAAAGGCATGAGAGCATAGAGAGGGAGCGAGATAGAGGCAGCAGAGCACATTGCACAGCACTGATTACTGCTTTGAAACAGAGATGGGAGAAAGACGGGAGGGAGTGAAGGAAAGCAGTAAACAGACTAAGGTCAGGAAGGTATGGAAGTATCCAAGGAACTGCTCTGCTTGATTACAAAAGTAGTGAGATAGCCAAACTGACACAGAGAGGGGAGAGGAATTAAGTGGAACAGGGATGAAAGGAAGAGACGAGCACAAGGTGACAGGTATAAAAGAATTTGGACGTGAGAGGGAGTTTGTCTGCATGTATATGCATTATGCATAACCGGGGTCACATCAGGACAGACCATAAGTATGCACACATGTGTGTGAGAGAGAGACATCCTGCATCCCAGCTTAAGTCTCAAGTGAGGCAAATTGAAATTCCATGAATAAACTGACAGACTTGAGAACCTGTCGCTCTTCAGTAACGACCTTGTCTTTCTCTCTCCTGTTTTTTTTGTACTGTACGCTCACAAATTGATATTCTGTCACTAAACTGGACCGTGTCTAAATGATGGCAGAGTTTCTATCACGTTTCTTACATTGTCCAGAGCCATATTTATTAGCTCCAGATGTGAACCTGCTGCATTCAGCTGCCCATTTAAAGTGTGGATGGAGGCGGCGGCAGTAAAGCAAAAGGTTTTCCTCTCAAAGCACAAGTCACACATCATCCTCACAACACAGCATGTCTTAATGGATCTGTTGCTGCACTGCTTTATGGACTGTTACAGAAATTGCTTCCTCTTTTATGACAGATTTTTCAGTGTATGATTGTTAAATATTTCTGTCGAAACAATGAGGCGAGGAGAGAAGCCCATTCACGTCGAAGGACACCATCGGGGGACTAATAACACCGAGACCTGATGTTTACGGTTATCATCTGCTGGACAAATAACACCGCAGCTGCACTGGAAGTATCAACAGGACATCTTGCTTTCAGTGCGGCCACCCATCCATGGAAATTAGAAACAGCAAAAAATTAAGTAACGTGGCACCGAAATGCAACGAGTAATGCCTTTTGTTTCCTGAAAATCTTTCTTTTGCTGACCAGTGGTTTAACTTTTCACCTTGCTGCAGTGATGTAGAAGTGCACTCAGGGCTCTGTCAGATCACTGTTGAGCAAGCTGCAGGTTTAACAGAAAATACTTGTGACCACACCCAACAGAGACACAGTGAAACTCTGCTTCTAGCCCAGAGTTAAGTGGTGAACTGTTTGGATGGTTTAAGGTGGAATTTTTCCTCCAAGATGCACCAATAATTTTAAAAACGGGGGATAAAATGTAAGATGAGAATTCATGCTGCATTCAGAAAGTCCTCAGACCCCTTCACTTTTGTTATGTGACAGTATAATTCATTCCACTGAGCATGATTTGGAGAGGCACATGTCTGTCTATAAGGTCTCACAGGTACACAATAGAGCTGAAGCCAAACCATGAGGTCAAAGGAACTGACTGCAGAGCTCAAAGACAGCTATGAAAAAAAGCTATTAAAAATTGTGCCTGAAGTTGAAGTTCCCAAGAGCACAATGGTATCCAACTTTACTAAATGGAGGAAGTTTAGACCAGCCGGGTCTCTTCATAGAGCCGGCTGTCTAGCGAAACTCACAAACTAAGCAATCGGGAGGAGGAGGGCCTCGATAAAAGATGTGATCAAGAACCTGGTGGTCACTCTGGCTGAGCTCCAGAGATCCTGTGTTGAGACGGAAGAAACTTTCAGAAGGACAACCATCACTGCAGCCCTTCACTGATGTGGGATTTAAGGCGGAGTGGCCAGATGGAAGCCTCCTCTCAGTGAAAGACACATAAAAGCCCCATTTGGAGTTTGCAAAAAAAAACACCCAAAGGACTCTCAGACTGTAAGAAGTAACGTTCTCTGGTCTGATGAAACCATGATTGAACAATTGGGCCTCAGTTCCAAGCGCCATGTTGGGAAGTGACTAGTCAGCACTCATCGCCTGCCCAAAAACTATCCCAACGGCGAAGCATGGTGGTGGCAGCATCATAGTATGGGGTGGTTATCAGCAACAGAGGCTGGTCAGGGTGGAGGAAAAGCTTAATAAAAACCTGCTCCAGAGCACTCAAGACCTACTAAGGCTCACCTTCGAACAAAGCAAAAATAAATAAATAATTGTTTTGCTTTGTCATTTTGAGGCATTGAATGTAGACTGATGGGGACATTTCAAACTATTTTAGCACAAGGCTGCAACATAACAAAATGCAAATACAGCGAAAGGCCCTGAAGACCGTCACTTTATGTACAGTAATGTAACATGCAGGTGCCTCCTGTGATTTTCCAAACAGCGCTCTTTGCAAATTTGCTAACAGAGCTCAACGAAATCTCGCTAAATTATACAGCAGTCTGACACTGACAGACAATGATTACTGTATTCATGACAGGAACACTCCAAACCATGTGGCATTCATGAGAGTGTGTTAATAAACATGCAAATTGTGCAACAGGCATGTGTTTCACTGCAGACTGATTTCTCTACTTCATTACATTAGCATCAGGTTGTTTTTTTTGACTGTGTGGCATCAGAAGGGTCAACCCATCATTGGTTGGCTTTTTTTTTTTCTATAGACCACATCAGAAATTGAGGTGATGGGAGATAATGTTACTCCTATGCACAGAAACAATAAAAATCCATTGTCAGAGTGGAGAACTTGGGGTACACCAAGACGTCCATTTAAAAACATTATCTGCATTTAGCTACCATACAGCAGCAAACAGCTTTTAATGTTAATAATATCCTGCACTACAGCAGCCAGCAGTACATTAGCTGTGCCGTGTGAATGTAGTGTAAACAAAATTAGCGGGGCTTTCGTGGTTCTGAGTAATGGAAATGAGCTATCAGATCTAGTTAGCAGAGCTGAGTCAGTTTTCCCAATAGCATTACTCTACATAACTAAGCAGCAAACTCCACATCACTTTTAATTCCTTTAGCCTGTTTCATGCGCCTTCAATTTTTTAAGCAGCAGCTTTACAACCGTCTGTTTAAATATGTTTTCCACGCTGCGCCCCTTGTGACGTGGGAGGTCACTGAGCCCGGTCACATATCAGAGGTGAGGGTGGGCTTTTCCCACAGCCCATGAAAACGACATTGAGCAGAACACGCTGGTCGACAACAAACCCGAAGGGGAATGAACGCATTATGAATCCATTCCTCCACTTATCATATAACCTCCTGAGAAAATAGAATAAAGCCGCGGTGCTCCACAGCGGTCCAGAGGGGCTTGTACATGAAACATCTCTGATAGAACGTGGCAGAATATCGTTTAGGAAAGCAAATGAGTAACCAACCGTCATGTCAGAGTTGCCTTGGAACACCTTTAACCTCAAAATCCTCCAGGGAGGGCTACTACAAAGAATAACAGTCTGTGCTGTTCATTTTTTATTTTTTTTTGTAAACACACTGGAATGAAAATAAGATCACCTTATTCATGAACACAAGCGGTATTTTTCTATACAAAGCAGATGGGTTTTAAAGCATCAAATAAATCTGCTCATATGTATCATCTTCTGCTTAAATCTCTCTGAACCATTCATTTTATGGATCGAGAATGTTTTGTTTATCAGAGCAACAGTTTTTTATTTACGACAATGGTTTCTTTCTTCTGGCGTTCCTCCCCTCTCGTTTCCATCTTCCTCTCATAATTGGCTGTGTACATTATCACTGAGCAGAATGCGTAGGTTTCTCCGACTCAGGGCCATAATTACTGATGCGCTCTGTCATTCATTGATTTGTTGACTGATTTTCTTCCCTCGTGTAAAGCAGCAGACTCCGAGAGAGAGACGCCCAAAAAATGATTTCTGAGCAAGACGGAGAGATCCCCCTGTCTCATTAACAACCGCATGCTGCAATAAAAGCTTAATGTTTCATTTTTTTCGAACCTGTTTGTTATAGTTGAGTTTGCTCAACTAGAGCTAATGAGAATGACAATCAACCAGTGTCTACTAAAACTGATGCATTACACAGAACTTCCTCATGAGATTATATACTTTCTAGGTCAAGAACTGCGACTTACCCGTGTCAAGCTTGGTCCCCTTGGCGCAGGCGACCATGGCTCCCATGCTGGGTTGAGAGGTCATTCCCGCCATAGAGTCAACCTAAACGGAGACAATCAATACAAATGCTGTTTGATTAAGTTTAAGCACATAATATGGGCCCACAGCTTAGTGAATCGATTGTATAAACACGGAGTAAAAGGTGCCCTGGTCTGCAAATCTGCATCTAAGTCATGTAAGTATAATGAGTCGTGGTATGAAAGCACAAACCACCAACCTTCCGCACAAAAACACACCTCCCCTCCCCTGTTCGGTGTATCTCGTTTGCTGTTATTGTGCATGAATGTTTTATTATTACCCTGATTTATTATTTAAATACACAAACTAATGGAACCGATGCAAATGTTTTTAGAGAGTGAGTCTGATTCATGGTGGACACTCGGTTGTTTGTTTCATTCAGTGTTACAAGGAACTGAGCAGCACAACAACCCAAAACTGCAAATAGTAGCCAATTGTTTTAATGAAACTGCCTGTGCTGGCAGCATGCGTCAGTGAGCACAGTGAGGGGAATGTTCCTGGCGTCAACAATTGTTTCTGTTTAGTTTCAGCAACATTTCATTATGCAAACGGCAGCAACTGGTAGGAAATGAGTGTTTGTTCATGTTCGGATAACTGGTGGGTGGACGTAAGCTTCAGAATATTGCTAATGGGTCACATGTCAGGCTTCCGATAATAAACCTGACATCAGCTTTGAATAATAGCCATGATGAATCAGTAATGCAGCTGTAGAATGAACACGATAAATACTCACCGCCACGTCGACTACGTCAGCTCCAGCGCCGGCACAAGCCAGCATGGCGGCTACGCCGGCTCCAGCTGTGTCGTGGGTGTGCACGTGGATGGGAACATCTGGGAAGCGGTCTCTCAGAGCGCCGATCAGAAGCTTGCTGGACTCTGGCTTCAGCAGACCAGCCATGTCCTGGCAAGAGAGAGACAAGGATAGAGACATGAGATGCAACGTTAGAGGGACATTCGACACGTTACAGATACGTCACCTTGTGTTGTTGCTTATACAATATTTTATTTGTCAAACTGGTGGGACTGGATTTCTAGACATGATATAAAATGAGCTACAACATTAAAACCACTTGCCTAACATGGAGCAGATCCCCTTTATGTTGCCCAAACAGCTTTTTACCCATGAAGGCCCATAAATAAACACCTCCTGTGGTATCAGGCTCCAAAACGAGAGCATCAAACCTTTTTAGTCCTGTTCAGATTTTGGGGTGTGGCCTCCATCGATTATGTTCTTCCAGCAGACCCCAGAGATACTCAACCAGATTGAGATGAGGAACATGGAGGCCAAGCTTACACCTTGAACTCTTTATCATGTTCTCCAGACCGCTGCTGAACAGTTTCTACAGGGCATCAGGGAGCACTGCTTAAAGAGGCCATCAGAGAACGCCGTTGCCATTAGAGGGTGTACGTGATCTGCAGCACGATGTTCACATGAATCTCTTCAGGTTTCCCAGAGCAACACTGCCTCCACCAGCTTGCCTTCCTCCAACAGGGCATCCTGCTGCTATCTCTACTCCTGTTAAACAACGTGCACACACCCGGCCGTCGACATGTTATTAAATGAAACTCGATTCATCTGACCGGGCCACCTTCCTCCATTGCTCCAGGGTCCAACTCTGATGCTCATTGCAGGTGCTTACAGCGATGGACAGGAATCAGTGTCGACACTCTGACATGTCTGCAGCTGCACGGCAAGCTGCGATTGCACTGTGACTTCTGACATCTTTCAGTCACAGTCAGCAGGAAGGTTTTTAGCAGTTTGTGCAACAGCGGCTATTCTGAGGGACCCACGAGTCAGCTTTTGCTCCTCACGCACATCGATGAGCTTTGGGCGACCATGACCCCGACCCCATCATCGGCTGGTCGCCAAGCAGACTGAGAGCACCTGACAAGATCTGCGGTTTGCCCGTTTCCTGCTTCCAATACCTCAATTTTCCTGAACTCACGGTTCACTGGCTGCCCTATAAATCCCCCCACCTCTTGACAGGTGCCTTTGTGATGAGATAATCAATGTTATTCATTCACCTGCCAGCGGTCGTAGCTGATCGGTGTAATCTACATGTTACTCTTCAGAATCTTTAGAATGACTTGATCTTGGGAGGAAGAGGTAATGACCACTGACACTTTTTAAATAATCACTGCATTAACTGCTGCATTAATCTGAATTGAAAATGGATGAGTTTACTTGTGCCGTTGAGGAAGCCTTTTTGAAATAGCCACTTAGGAAAATCACACGTCTTAGAGGAGGAAATGATTAAATATGAATTTGGAGATTATTGAACAAGCACAACAGAATAGAGACACTCATGAGGATTATTATAAAAAACAAATCTCAACTGATATTAACAGAAATTGCAGATGCAGCTTAGATGTTTAGTTGCGCTCTCTTTGATGATCATTGCACTCCATGAAGTTACATTACATGCCCATTTCCTCTCACAAAAGTTAACCTCATTAGCTGTGGCAGCGTTTTATGAGGCTTCACCGCTGCGTGCGACGGTTCACACTGTGGTAGTTTATCATTCCACGTCTGCAAATATTGTGTCATGCCTGAATAAAGAAATTAATTCTTTGTGAGCATTATCAGTCCATTCATTTAGATAAGACGCGCGAGTATACAAGTTATTTTAATTGGAGCAAGTTGAATACCATCAGCTGTGTTCAACGATTACCTCAAGAAAATTTTCTTATTATTTAAAATGCTAATCAAAAGCCATGTATGTGTTTAAAAGGGGGGGTTTAATTCAGCACAACACATTAGTGAAATTGGTTATTGGAAAACTCATTTTTTCTTGATCTATTTTTATTTTTCAGCTGAATATCAATTAACATTCCGCAATTAATATTTTTAGTTTTCAGCTGAATATCAATTAACATTCTGCCATTTTGGTAATAATGGCAGCAAACGTAACAGCAGAAATAGAAGCGGAGGTTGCGGGGTAAGATAAGTAAACTCACACACGACAGTTTGCTCAAATGATTAAAGAGTGGTAATTTCGTCAGGAATTAGTCGGGCCCAACGAGTTTCAGTATAGATTAAACCGAGTGAACGCAAAAAAGACCAATCAAAGCTACTTGGAGTGTAGACAAACCATGCTAGATAAGGTTTAGTTGGTAGATAAGGTTCTAATTTTTGATAAAAATGCCACTGCTTGTGTAAAAAAGTGTGTGTATACATCAGTTTCTGTTACTCTGGTTGCAGATTGGATTGAATTTCCACACAGAAATCTTTGCAGAAGCCTGAACAACTTCTACAGCAACTCTTTGATTTATTTCCTCACCTTGATGCACAAGATGTGGGTTCCAGCTTTGACGAGCTCATCCGCCAGCTTCACGTAGTAGTCCAGAGAGTACTTCTGCCTCATCGGGTCGGAGACGTCGCCCGTGTACGAGATGGCGGCCTCGACGACGCCGCCCGCCGCCCCTGCAGCCTCCATACCCAGCAGCATGTTGGGCAGGTAGTTGAGGGAATCGAACACGCGGAAGATGTCCATGCCGTTCTCCTTGGCCACCTCGCAGAACCTGAGGAGGTGGAGATGATGCTAGTCAACCAAAACATCCGCATTCAAATCAGGTTAGGAAGGTTGTCAAGACTTATTGTACGCTGCAGGATTATTACGCAGCCTCACCCACACATGTATAATGAGTTTGCCTTCATGCACAGTGTACTCCAGATAATGGTGCACATCCGGGTTGGGATAAGCTGTTTATATCCATCTCCATATCGCTGCTCATAAATATCGCTGTACCTGAGTAAATACTGTATCCTCACTATTTTCATGAAAAGTGAGCTTGCAGCCTGCGAGAGCTCACAATAAGTGGGGAGAAATGTATACCCGCCTCATTATCCAAGCAGCTAGTGGTAAATCCTTCCTATTATTGCCTTGGCCCCGGTATCTTAATCAGGTTTTTCATAACTGGAGTGACTACTTACTGTAGCTGTGCGACTGTGAATGCAATATTTACTCACGCTGAGAGCTTTTGTTTTGGCAAATAAACAGATAAACATTGTATGTCAGACACACATTGTTACGTCTGTTTATTTGTGCCACAGGAGGATTGTCGGTCCTGTGTGTGTGTGTGTCCAGTATTTATTTAGTGATGCACTACAACGTATACGCGTGCTGTTTGCCCACTGGCACCACATGAAAAACACTGCACTGCCCTACATATCTAACTCAGAGCTTAAAGTTATCATTATCTGTGAAATTCATAGAGGTTTTTTTTTTTCTTTCCTTCCCTCCCCAAATGTGACAAGAAAATCTCGTTAACAATCATATGACCCGTTCAATCCTCCAGGCGGTTTAGACATTTTAGAAATGCCACATCCCTCTCCCTGCAAAATGTACTCTACTGTGACCCTGTAAAATGCACTTTAAATCAACTAAATGAAATGGAATTACACTTTGATTTGATTTAGTTAATGAAGACGCTTAGGTCACTTGGCTGCCGCGCCGAAAACGTTGCGGGCGAGGGAGTGACAGAGTGCAGGGAGGGGAGAGGGGGAGAGAGAGAGAGAGAGAGAGAGAGCCGGGCAAACAGATCAAAGCCATTAATCACAATGATGTGCAAATTTTCGATGGCACTCCCCCTATGGGACGCCGTGAGTGAAGAGGGAGATGAAGAGCAATAGGCGTCGGAGGAGGGGAGTTGGAAAGAGGGAAAGAAGTGTGTAACGCGGGGAGATGAATGGAAGCGCAGAAACGAGAGGCATGAGTAGGGGTAAATAATGACTCCGCGATCGGAGGGGTCGGGCGGGGGCAAAAAACAGGGAGGATCGGGGAGGTCTGCCGGTGTGTGATTCAATGCGAAGGAGGGAGGAGGGGACAGCTGCATTAGTCATAAACTAGCCACTACTAATTTACTTGAGGTGAGGGGAAACACACTGTGCATGTGCGAGGGAGGCGGTGTGTACGTCCCTGCCGGCGTTTGTGTGCGCGGCCCGGGCTGCAGTTGTGTTTACATGAGTCATCCGCATCGCCGACGAAGCCTGTGAAGCCATTTGGAAAAAAAGAGGCGTGTGTATGCATGTGTGTAGGCACAGGAGTATTTATGGCCCCAAAGTGCATTACTAGTATACATCTGTATCAATGATGTGTAACTCGCCCAGCGCGGTAAGACGCAACGGGAACGCTTCGACCAAATTGACCTGATTAAATGTGTGGTTTGTGGAGAGCTAGCGTGCATTATATCCATTTAGATATGTTCAGAAAGATAGCAGGAGCTACTGATGGGTATTAGGGATTGATGGATAGTCAAGGCTGATGTTCTGCGTTTCTCTGATCGTCTGTATCGTCACTTTTACTGGCCATTTTAAGGGTGAAAAAGCAAATAAATGTGCTACTGTTGCTCTGATGCAGCCACCTCTCTTTCTGCACACATTAAGGCAAATCGCTGAAGCTATTGTTTACACAGAGAGACAGATGAGCACATTTACAGCTTTGGTGAATTAGCTGTGTTTCAGCTTTCAGACTTTGTGACTCTTTCAACTGAGAAGCAGGATTTGAAAACGGGCAAAGAAGTTAGCAAAGATATTATTTTGCACAAGTCTGATCCGTGTTTATAGTGTTATTACTTCGACATGTACAAATACGCATAACTACAAAACTCTCCTTCCTCTGATTCATACGATATGGTATCAACTTATCGATGCAATTGCGAGTTCATGATGTTAAACTCAACAAGTACTGCGGGTGTGGAGATGGCGTGCGAGTCGTAACTGTGATTAAATGTAATGCAAATGCAGTTTAGGATGTGTTTTTGGATGCAAATCGTGTCTATTTGGGTTTAAAACAACAGCTGACGACTTGAAAAATGTGCAGTCGTCATTCATTTAAGATGAATTCAACTCACAATGGTTTAAAAATATCTATATTATTAGAGCATCATTTTGGCAATAGTGTGGTATGAATAATAGCAGCAATGTTTCTATTTTATATGACACTATATATGTAAAGTAGGGGCTCTTTAGTCCGTAGAAAATTGCGTATTGCGTGTTCTATCGGTTTTTGCTCTCGTGTGTTGTTAGAAGTAATTGCTTTTCAATTGTTTCGCTAAATTGTTTGTGTAATTATTCATAGATAGCAATACTTTTCAATTTCACTTTCAATCATCTAAAAGGCCTGACACTATTACATGGAGCAAAAAAAAAAAAAAACACAAAACACCATCACGTATGAAGTTGACGGTTCCCCGTGTTGTTCCCATGGAAACGACCCAGTCAGAGGACGTTTTCTAAATAATATGACAATGAGAGACAATGGAGCAGAAGGAGCGGCAGCTGGCTTCAAGAAAATCTTATTCAAATTGATGTTTTGCAAGAATTCGATAAAAACTGTTTTCGACACAGTTGGGGGGGAAAAAAAAAAAAAAAAAAGAAGCTAAACAGGAAAATGAGAAAGCTGCTCCGGTGCTATGAAGGATCTGTGACAACACTGACAATCCGACATACTGAACAGTGTGTGGCAGACATCAGACAGCACACTATACCTATGTTTGCTTTATGTGTATTCCTTTATTCGCCTAAGCTTTTGAAAAATACTCACAGTTTAAGATTCGGTTGTTTAAGAGCTGAATTAAGAAGAGCTTGATGAGACGTGTGTGTATGAGTGACTCACTTAAAGACAGCATTGTCAGGGTAGTTAGTGTAGCCCACAGCGTTGGCTCCTCTCAGCAGCATCTGGAAGGGGACATTTGGGATCAAAGCTCTCAGCTCCTGGAGTCTCTTCCATGGACACTCCGAGAGGAATCGCATGGCCACGTCGAAGGTAGCACCTACGCAGGACACACAAACAGGTCGCGGTTTACTTCAGCTTTCATCTCCAGTCTCATTCGTCATCCCGACTTTGATCTCAATTCGAAAAAAAAAAAATCCCAAAATAATATTTCAAATTTCTCCCATTGCTCACAAACACACACACACACACACTCGGACAGCACTAATAGAGGACACAATAATGGATGCTCGAGTAAAATATCTGATGATAGTTGCACATTCATTGTTCGTTCTAACACTTTCATCATTCCTTTTTAAAGTCACTTTAAAATCTAAGAAATGTTCCGGGGAAGAGGTGAAAAAAAAAAAGACAGGAGAGATAGCGATCTCTCATTTCCCTTTCTGGGGGAGTAGATTAGCGATTCTCATACCCGTTTATCATATCAGCCAGAAATATTGAAGCCTCCAGTGGTATTCTGCTGATCCAACACTGTCATCATTAAATTTCATTTTCTGAGCACTCATACATTTGGACATGGGGAGAATACTAAGCGCAGCTGCTTGTTCCTGACTCTATGAGCAGGAGGGATGCCCTGGAAAAACCCTCCTCTTCATCAATTTTTTGGTAAAAAAATTCTTTCCCTCCAATTTGGATTTTAGCCTACGTCAGCATCTCTTAAACCACCGGTCTGGAGCGGAAATGACTCCAAGCAATCTTATCCGATGTTAAACATATTAGTATTAATGTTTCATTGCATTTGAGCTATCAAAACATGATGCCGAGTGAGGAATTCATCTGGGACAGCGCAATCTACTCTAATAATTTGATAACGCGAATGAAGACTGACAGCTGGTCCCACGTGCGGGACATTAGGCATTTGCACTGCTGTAGTCGGCCTCTTTTATTTTTTTATTTATTTTTTTGGGAAAGATAGGCAGCCTCCAATCTGCTGTGAATGTGAGTTGAAATAAATCAGATGGAAGGAAGGAAATAAGGTCTTTGTGCAGTCCCCATGACAGCCAGCAAAGTCAAGAAAAACTTATTTGGGGACAAACTGTCTCCTGGAATAGGTGTTGTGGAGATATATGGGCTTGTAACATCTTCCGTAATATTAAATTTTATACATAACTCGATAATAAAACAGTCGGTTCAGGCGCACGCTGGCAAACTCCATCCAAAGTTGTATAAACTAAACTTCTATTTTATGCTCTTAAGCAAATAAAGGATGCATAAATGTGATTAATATCTCTAATTTGAATTGTTGGGTTACATAAACACACATATCTCAGCATTTTTTTGCTTAAGTGTGCAATTACGCCCCCCGTGCATCAGACGGTTTTTCCTGCCGGATCAATTTTTATGTCATCTGAGATTCCACTTTGATCCACCTTAGTGATGTCCAGACTTTTTTTTATTTTTTTTGCTCTCAGTGCACAGTCCTTAATAAAACAAGCAAAAGTACTCTAAGTTGCTGATTACACAACTGCTCGGGTGAAGACGAGGAACACACCAACGTGTAAAAGCGCAGTAATTAAGAATCTACCGCTGCTCCATCTGATAAATTTGCCAAGTGTGAAACAGATATGAGGAGCCGTATAGATACATTATGTGACCCAGTTCATTTTACTGTATCTTGCATGGTGTAGGGAGAAATGCTATATCAGGAAGGGACTTAATCCTCAAAGGGCTTTCACAGGCTTAATCTCTTCAATGATTCATTCTGCCTCTAAGCAGCTGAAACATGTGAAAGCAATATTCCCTATCTGAGACCGCTCTGTGTTAAACAAAAAAACACAAAACAAAACCATTCCAGCGTAGGGACAATGTGTCAGGGTTACAGCGTTCAACATTCACATGGTCGTCTCCCTTCGACGATTTATTTTTGCTCTGAGTGATTGAAGCCCAGACGAGTGTGATATTGTATCCCTGATCACTCTGCAATGAAAGTGCACTGTACAGGGACCTCCAATCAAGTGGCACACAGCAGTCATTCCTCCTGTGGTCATTAAGTGATTTATGAGGATCTCTTTAAAGGTGCCGTAACAAGCAGTCACAGTGGGACAGTGTGTGCTCAGCTGAACTTTTTACAGCGTCGTAGTCTAATTTGTGTTTCACAGCTTAAATCAATGTGGGGTGAGAGAACGGCAAATGGCTAACCTGGGAACTTTGGGTTTTAAACACAGGGTAAGTGAAGAAAAGGAGACACAGCTCATTATCTTAGCAGTTAGAGGTATACTCTTTAAAAGGTTAGAGTGTTCTTTTAGTACAAGGGTTGCTCCACTTATTTCACCTGAAGACCAGTTTATTCATCATGGGGAGCGCCGCTCACTGCCGTATATAGTCTCTGGAGAAAACTTTTAAAGACTGAGACAATAACCCCTTCCAATAGCAGCAGAGTTATCTAGAGTCTGCAGTAGGAGGTGGAGGCACAGAGAACAGATGTGGCTATTTGCAGTAGGAGGCATGAAGGGTCTGGAAGTTGACCGATACCAGGGTCTAAGTGTATGAATGTCCTGACTTCTGATACTCATGACTTACATATAATTAACAATATACTAACTGATAAGGCAGAAGCTGAGTATTCTGCGGTTTATCTGTCAGGAAATGTTCTGCAGATTTGCTGTAGTACCTGGTTGCCCCACCAGGTGGACTGTTTGATGAGACGGAGTTACAGGTGTGTTTGCTGACCACTTGTTAAGAGTTTCATCAAACAAGCGCATCTCTCTCATGTTTACCGTGTTTAACTGTGGCGGTCGCGTTGATGAAGTCTGCAGCATAAACATGTAAAAAAAAATATGTCTGCAGGCTAACTGGTTTATTTAGCTACCTCAACGCTAATATAGGAAAATCAAATGCTAAGAAGCTACTGACGCTGCTAATTTTCAGAAGGACTTTGGTTGCATGCTTCCTATAAACATTTAAAATAAACTGTTGAAGTGTATTCTAGAGGTGGCATTAAATACTGACAGACTTCCTGGACGGATAAAGTTGCTGCAACAGTATTTGAGGACATCTGTTCCAGCTGTTTACAGCAGCCGGACGAACATTAATAAAGTGAGCCACTATTTTATATGTTGTAAAAATTCTGTAAAGAGATGATTAACTTTACAAGCTATATACTACAGAAGACTTTAGCTGTGTGCAATACTTTGGATTTTGTCGGGACAATCCTTAGACACCAGTAAACTTATTCAAGGACTTGTTTGTTTTTGCTGTTTACTCTATAACTTAGTAACCAGACTTTTACTTCCTGATCTAACCGAGCCTGTTTTGCAGCAAACATTAAATTATGGTGGTTAAAAACGGTTTAACAATCATCTGCAGAATTGTATTTCATTCACTGTAACAAGACTGTAAACATGGACGACTATTGGTTGAGGAAATTGTTTAAAGTGTGCATTCCTAGAAAAAACTTGGAAGGAAGTATATGCAGCCACAAGAAATGGGTACAACTCAAAAAACAGGCAAATCTCCCATCTTTAAGATTAATTTAAAAACCGTCAGTCTGTTGTGGAACATGTAATTTCCATGCTCGGTTACAGAACCTAAGCAAAAATTGAAATAATTGCCCAAACAAGTGTCAAAAGGCTCGGTGGCAGATTCATCACATGGCTCTCTAAATGCTTTGTTGTTCCCCCTTAAGTAGCTCAATTAGCATCAAATTATTAATATGCACAGGAAGACACTGAGGCGAACACATTATTACGCTGCTAAATAAAAGTGACAGGAAGGTTTCAGGGGGATGTCTCTTTTTAGAATTTATTCTGCCTTTAAGTGTTTAAATAATTATGAGACAGTCCCCCCTCTGTTTCCTCAAACTCATAATCATATCATGCAGGAAACACTGATGCCTCAAGAGGATCCACCAGCATATTACGTTTCTCTTCTGCGATTCACACGATCACCACTACTTTTCTTAACCGAGAAAGACAAATGAATCCTATGCTGCTCAGCTCATAATATCAGCCCATTACAGAATCATTATGTCAGGACTTGTTTAAATTTCCCCGACTCATGTTTTACATCTGATTTCAATGATCTACTCTTGCTGTTCCGGTATAAATGGGAACCAGACAAGCATATATTCACTTTCTCTAACTTCTTTATGGAGACGAAAGACTGTTTAAACTTCAAGAGCTTTCATTGACAGAAGATTTTAAAACTCGACTCCCACTGCAATTCAAACATTAGCACTTTATGAAAGAGTTCAGGAGGGAGGCACGGAGCGAGACGTGTTCGCTATTCTCTTCACGTTTGATCATAACTGGATTCAGTTCAGACACCAGATTAATCTGCAGTGTTTACTCTGAGCTTTTACTGCAGCAAACGCCTAAATTAAGACGGTTAGCCACTCTGTTGGCTCGTTTAAGAATAATTATAGGTTTTGCTTAAAATACTCAACTGAAGTCTTAAAAAAATAAACGATTTCATTATTTAATCTTACCATCAACGACGTCTTTTTGCTGTATTTAAACGTAGATTTGTCGTCATGCAATCAATGGATTTGTTGAAAATCTGGCCACACTTCTTCTGGCTTTGAAACAGTTTGAAGGAGCAAAAGGTTTAAAGCTTTTCAAAAACAAGCCACTCTAAATTATCCCTGATGTGCAACATTAAATGGTGTGAAAACATGCTTTCTGTCAGGCTTTATTGACTGTCTGTTGAGCACATGAAGCCAAGCGAAACCGGCAGAGAAAACACTGGCTTGAAAGCCTCAACAATGGCCCCGTTGGACCGTGTTTGCTGCATGTTCTGGTGCGATCCTCAGAAGTAAAGCTATCAGCGAGGTCGTGTTCTGCATGATTGCAAATGACGGTAAACAAGTTTTTTAATGCGGTCTTGGCTGGAAACTTGGAAGCACTTTTTTAAAGTTGTCAAATATATGAAAATGAAATCTTAAAAAGGCATTTATGGGCCTTAATCAAAGCACTTTCGCCTTTCAGAGCTGGTTCACATGGCATAATGAGACAAACACAGACAAGGGGCTTCCCTGGCACCTATTCAACGCTTTCCTCAGGAGTTCAGCGCAAGTTTTCACAGTCTCTCTCTTCAAAGATATGCTTTTAATGTAGCTCCTCAAACACTGCTACGCTGAATTCATATCATCTTTCCTGGGTCAGTCTCATAATAAAATCACAATATTCTGGGAGATGGAAGACTGGAAGCGTTTAAGCCCTTTTTATCGAAATATCTACTCAATAATTTACTTTTGCTATAGCCTTTTTATCTGTTCAAACATGAAATAAGTAGACAGTTGCTTAATGTGAGTTTTGCTCAAAGTGCTCTCCCACAGTAATGAAATATATTGCTTTCCCCCCCCCTAACTGGTGCACCATGATCTGCTACCAAGAGGAATTTAATCTTAGAAAGGGTTTATAGCACCGAAGAGGTTTCACTGAAGACTCACGCTCGCTCTCATGTGTCTTTATTTTTTTTTCTCTCACTTTGTTCAAGCAGCATCTAACGATGAGGCGAGCCACTGAAATAGAAGCTGAAACGGAACAGGGCTTTTGTTGGTTAGTTCTTACGTTTGTTCTTGTGATCTTTTCGAGGCACTCCAAGTAATACAAGCACAAATACTATAATTGAGCATTAAATTAAATGCTCCAACCTCAAGAGGTGTGCTGGGCATCTCTCTTTCACAACTGTGTGTCCTGAATGCACAAACGTTCAGAAGGAGCTCGTAACAATCGCACTTCATATAGGATCGTTATGAAGAAGTGTTGATAATTGGTCTTGTTACCAGCTGTTCAAACCTCACGTTTTCTTCCCCTTCCCCAATTTTAGAGTAATTGCCTATTATACAGCGACACTACCGGACTGCTCGCGCCGCAAGAAGTTTCAACAACGTGTGATTTTGTCTATTCATTGAAGAGCAGGGAAGAGGTACAATCATCGTCTGGGTGGTGGGAGAGGAGATGGCAGAGTGAGATGTGATTTTCACAGCTCAAACACGAAAAAACAAAGAGGCTCATCACTGAAACATGGAGCAGATCTACAGCACGAGTGGGGAGAGACATTAAAATGCACAAGCACATACAAAGGGATTCAATTAACACGATAGCCATCAGGGTAGTTAAATTCATGATGTTTTTACACAGCTGCCTGTAGGAGATCAAATATGATCGTTTTCAGCTCCATTATCCGGCATCTTCAGAGCTTTTAGGGTTTCACTAATTGATGTTGCTCATGTGAGCTGTGGATCATTTAATTAAACTGTTTCACAAGAGGCAAACTCACCCCCCCAGTTCTCCAGGCTGAAAAGGTTGCTGAAGTTGTGGCTGACGAATGGCGAGATCTTCTTCAGGTCATGGGTCCGAACTCTGGTCGCCAGGAGCGACTGGTGAGCATCCCTGAACGTGGTATCCATTAGCAACAGGCCTTGGTGGGCACGAACAGCCTTGGCGAATCCCTCGGGACCATCGCGCAGCAACACATCACGGAAACCTACCGGAGGGTCGCCTGAAAAAGACAGAAATAGGAAACAGATCAAAGTTAGTGTGGGAAACAATATAGAGGAGAAATGAAAAGGGAAGAAAAAGGGTTTGCAGTAATGTTTGTGAGAAATCAATATGAGATGTTGGAGAACTACTTTTATGTTCCACCAGATGTCTGTTTATTCACAGAAAATTGACTAATATGTCAATAGAAAGACGAAAAAAATATGTAAAGGGAGCTTTTAGAAGCACAGGACTGCAATTACACAGGGGGTTCCATTGTTTTATTGAAAAGAAGAAGAAGAAAAGGTGTGCAAATACGCTTTTATTCATCCAATCCTAAGCGCTGTATCGACTGTTTGCACTGCTTAAGTGTGTAGCCTGATAAATGATTTACCTCAACTTAACGAGAGCGCAGGTAAACTGATGGTATTTACTCAGCGCTCTCTCTTAAGTTAACAAGTCTGGTGCTTGTCATAACTTGTGCTAATGAGGTGGATCCTATCCGCTCTCAATGCTCTTCCTATCACCCTCAGCTCAGAAGATCAGCTATAAAAGAAGACAGGCATAGAAGCTCAGCAGCCGCCTTATTAGACACACCACCCACTGATTAGTGAAAACGGATTGCTCCTGCTGACAGTGACTCATATGGCTCCGGTATTCTATATAAAGTCAGCAGCTACCATTTAGCGAAACAAGAGATCCAAGGAGCTTGAGCTCGGTACTGTATGGCTGCCAGCTAACGGCGAACCGGTTCCAGGACGGCTGCTATTTGCAGTTTTTACGCTTTTTCAAATACCAAGTCATCTGGCTGTTTTTAGGTCCCAAACTTTTCACAACACCAGTGATCAGAGAGGTGCAATGTTGTAAATCTGAGTATGGCATATACAGTATATTGGATTGTCAAAAGTGTGGAGGCAGCACCAGATGGAAAACTCTGAAAGGAGCCTAATAATATATGACTAATATTTTATATGATATTAGATAATAATACTGTTGGAACTCTCCAGTAACCACGACTGCACAACCAGCAGTCATGAAGACACAACTTTAGGGAACACAAAACAAGACTAAGAGTCTACAGGCATGGTAGCACATGTAGGGATAGACACTCACTGATAACTCTAAATGAATTGCTGACATTAAGCAAGTATAATGTTTACCACCTTAGTTTAGTGTTGGTATGTTTAATGTTGCTATCAATGACTGTCTACAACAGGGGTGCCCAATCCTGGTCCTCGAGAGCCCCTATCCAGCATGTTTTAGATGTTTCTCTCTTCCAACACAACTGATTCACATGATCAGGATCGTTAGCAGGCTTCTGCAGAGCTTGATGATGAGCTGATCATTTGAATCAGGTGTGTTGGAAGAGGGAAACATTGAAAACATGCTGGATAGGGGCTCTCGAGGACCAGGATTGGGCACCCCTGGTCTACAAAGATGGATGAACCCTCAGACCCATCACAAGTTTCCTGAGCAGTGGCTTTAAAGCTCAGCCTGGTTGCTCAGGCGGACGCTATCCTGGAAATGCTCGACTCGCTAAACCAAAAATTAGCGAAAAGGTGGAGCATGAAGGGAGCTGAGGCGGGCCATGCAAACGTCTCCGAACCACGGCTTGCCCTATGACGATGAAGCTGAGTGCATCTTTAATTATGCATTGGCTTCAATGTAATCCATAAAAAAAAGGAGTTACATCAAGGTTCACTCCCTGTACAGTTGTCATGAACGGGGAAACTAGCTAAAGAAACCAAAGCTGTGTTTGTACTGGGCTGTAAACTTGTTTATTTCTCCTGGAAAGTTGGGCATTTTAACATAGAGGTCTATGGGGATTGATTGGAATTTGGAGTCAGCCTCAAGTGGTCATTTGAGGAACTGCAGATTTTGACACTTCCGCTTGGTTGCTACATGAAAACTTTGCTAGACATGCTAAATACTTAAGTTAATTTAGTGTAAGTCATGGATGTCTCAAAACTACACCTTGTGAAGGTGCAATGAGAAATGCCATAGGAGCTTATCCTCTGGGTACCATAACAGAATGTCATGCCAATCCATCCAACAATTGCTATGATATTTCAATATATACCAAACTGGTGGATCAATGCTACTCTTCATATAGGGCAGCCAACATAGGTTTAAAAAGTGAAGAGCGATGCAGGCAAACAGATGAACTAGAAACAGATAAACCACATCACATCCATGGAGAGTGCTTGTGAAAACCTGCAGGCTGCGTTCCCTCGAGGAACCGCGGATGAAGATTGTTAGACATGCTGGCACTGGATGAGTGTTTCTGGTTATCGTACAAGACTATAATGTCAACATACAATATTGAAACACAATATAACCGCTAAAAGCATCCATGAGGACGAATAAAAATTGCTGTGGAATCCCCAAGACAAATACTGGCATTTCCAGTTTATTACAGCAGTGCTCCTCAAAACAAACACGCTAAACATTGCAACGACCTCGCTCTACGGGCTGCGAGCAACCTTCCATCCCAGCCTTTCTCTCGTTCCTCTCTGCCTTGCAATTAAACACAAGCACCACCTGAGGCATTAAAATATTGGAAGCAGAGTTGGGATCTATTTTTGCTGTGGTGTGTACAATCATCAATCAATTAGACTAGTTAATGAGGTAGTATCTGCCTGCTTAGATGTCCTCCAACCCTCCCGTCTCTCTCTGTCTGTGTAGTTGAATATTTGCTCTTGACCTTTTATTGCTGCGCCTCATTCGTGAAAACAAATGATCTGTGCTGTAATTGTCTCTAAGGCCGGCATGAGCAAAATGAACCGACGCACACACAGGTACAGATGCATTTGTTCATGCATGCCAACAGCAGGAACTCACTGGATGAGCTCCGTGAAGCAAACCGACGTCTGAACTTATCGAGATATGTACATAATAAAGAGGACACGTGAGCCACGCTGAAAACAATAACTCGCTCCCAAAGCTCGCCCTCCATTTCTCACGTCTCTGCAGCTTCGCAAATTTGCTTCCCATGTTGTGCCACTTGTGCCGCCTTTGAAACGACGCAACAGAAAGGAAACGAGGGCGTGTGCACTGGGACCGCCGCTTCCTTACACACAATGGCCGATCCATGTGACAGTTTTCCTAGAAAACAGCGTTTGAGTGGATTTGTGTACGTTGTATTGAGCGAAAACACAAAACAGTAAAGAGATACGAGTCCCAAGTGGTCGTCGTGCTCCAACGCTAACCCACTTACACACAAACGCCTCACGCCCACTCCCTGGCCTCCTTGCCCTCGCTTCACTCCTTTGTCTTGCAGGCTGATGGCATTTTACACCTCTTATCTTGGCATTCTTCACCTGCCTGCTCCTCTATTCACACCGCAGCTCTTCTCCTGCAGCTACACAATGCCAGCGAATATCGTATGCCTAGGCAGTGCAAACTACAGCGCTTAGAGGTGCTTCTTTATTAATTTCTGAGTGAAAACAGCTTGCCTTGCCTCTGTTCTGAGCTGACATCTGCCTACCAAAAAAAAAAAAAGAAGGCTGTTAAATGTGCCGTAACTTTTTGCTGAGGAACATTTTAATTTGCCGATCAGGTGTGCTGGAACAGCCAGTTAAGCCTGTACATGCTAACAGCAGGTAATTTACCGTAACTACTAAAGTACAGGCTGGTGGGGAAAAACCCCAACTTTTGACTGGCAGTAATGTTCAAGAGCAGCATTACTTTTCCCTCACATAGCTGCAAATGGAGGTGAGAACAAAGACAAAAACTTTGCTGTAAACAAACGTGAAAAAAATCCCAAGTATCTTCAGGTTTCAGAAAGCCAAATTTAAGACTCGGTATGAGGCTGCCTAAAAGTGATGTTTGGACCTAAACAATAGTAGAAAACACAAAGCGGCAAAAACAATTTGTTGTCTTTGAAGATGAAATGAAAGGATCCCAAAACTAGAAACAGGCAGAGACAACAAAAAGGGAATGTCGAGGCACTGGGTCCGCTACTTTGTGCATGCTATAACATACTATTGTGCTGCAAACTACTATTCTACTTTAATCCGGAGAATGGAGGTACAGTGCACAATGGGGAGGTTGGAAAGTAGTCTGTCATTTTTATTAGTCATTCTTCCCAGAGCTAGCTCACAGGCATCTGGTGATTAACCTCTAGATGTCCTCCATTAAATAAATCCAGACAATAATTGGAACAAGGTGTACTTCTACACCATCGATGAACCACCAGCAATCAGCCTTCAGAGGGAACGTTTCAGACTACAAATCCTAATTAGAAAATAATGGCCTTTGAGTGCTTAACAGGTTTTGTCAGGACACCCTCGCCCCGTCTTTCAGGAACAGTTGTCGTCCCGTCTCTCCTGTGTTTTGGGAACGCCTCAAAAGTCTTGCCGTTTTTTCCCCCCCTCCTCCTTTCGCCTTATCTTCAGCGGTGACATTTCGAGGTGCCACGCTGATCTCTGCACGCCACATAGTCGGTCCAGCTCTCTTTCCCCCACGCGTCAGTCTCGATCAATTTACCCATCCATATCGCCACACCTGCCGCTGGATCCACCTGACCGTTTTCTCAATATATAGGGATTATACGCTGGCCGAAACCCTCTCTGTTCTCCCTTCATAACCCCTTTCTCCCTCCGTGTCCCCGTCCCTCCCTCCGCAGAGTGTGATAATACAGGCCTAATCCCTCTCTTCTCTCAATCCCTCCGTCGAATGAAAGAAAGGATATAAGCACATTACAAATCTCATTACTAGGCCTTAGGTATGCTTCTGTGCGTGCCTGTGCTGCATACAACTACCTCATCAGCTGCTTACAGTAGGTAAGTGGGGGCACGTACACAAAGGGTGTCTGTCTAAAGAGTGCCTGCTCGCTACAGTACACGCCTGTGCCAGTTTGGGTGATTTAGTGCATACGTGCATGTATGTGTGTGTGTGTGTGTTCGCTCCCCCTGCGACAACGTAGACAGGCGATGATAGCTTTCAACGCGACATTTGCATAAGTAAAACAAGTGGTGGGTAAGCACGGAGGAAACACACAAACACCGCACATTATTCTGTCCCATTCTGCTCCATTCCGTTCCACCGTGCACGCTTTTTAGATGTCAGATCTGATTAGTTATGCCTGATTATGATTCATATTATTCACATTATTTTGCTATAAATTCGTGTTTACCAGGCATGCCGGGGTCTGTGCTGAGGCAGAACAGGGTGCTGATAAACATGTCAGATTGGAACAGTTGACTGCTGTGTTGCTGTCAAAAGGAGCAGCTGCATAAATTTATGCCATTATGCACCCCAAACGAGAACGAGCCTGAAAGAGCAGCGGCACAAGACAAAAAGCAGCGCTGCAACATGACCAGAGTCAAGTTGTGACATCAGTTGACACAGGATGTTTGTGATATTAGAAAAATTGGTTTACTCTTTGTAGTGGTCTCCACATCACACAAGAAATAAATAAAAAAAGAACAGAAAAAGAGCTGAAGAGAGCTGATTGTATCTAATTACAGGCAGGTTCAAGTGAAATCAGATCTTATGAGTTTAACACACTCAGTCCATTTAGCCCAGATCTGACAAAACATATCTTTTTGCACTGTTGTGGTCACCTGAACATCAACTTTTCCATCACATAAACCTTGATATCAATACATTCCTCAATGGTGTGTGGTTCTACTTTCAACTCTTTCCTTGTGATGTTTTTTTTAATTGCTGCCAACAGCATACTAAGTAATTCCAATTTTCAAACAATGTACGGCCCAGATACATAAGTGTTTACCCCACATTCATTGTTTACATGTTCATGGACCCGTTCCCAGTGAGTTCTAAAAACCTGGCAATCCCAGAAGACACGAAAGTGAGTGAAAAACCTTAGTTTCTTCTCAACACTCTTCCTTTAGTTTTACCTTACAAAAATCCACTACCGCACTGTAGTTAGAATGGGGAAGGAAAAAAAAACCCCACAGAGCTCCACTCCAGAGACCCAAAGTAGCTCAACGAGCTCATCAAAGCGCCCAGCTTGGCCGCTGGCCTTTCCTGCGAGACTACAGTGGCGCTGGTGCAGAGCAGGGTGAGGAGTGGAGAACTTCTGCCTTCACAAACAATGAGCTGCACCCCTCTCGCTGCTGTACTCACAGCTCAGCAGAGCACTCTGGGCTAAAACCCTTTTCCTCCCCGAGTGCTAAACTGAGCCATTTAGGAAGGCCTTTCCGCCTACAGCTATCAGACTGTTCGACAGCCCATTTGTCATTCGGTGGGTGCTTTTATCCAAAGTGCCCTGTGGATCCACAAGTGTTTACATTTTTAGAAGCGTTGCCCCCGGGGAGACGAAGCCCCCGAACCCTCGCTGCAGCAGTGCCTTGCTAAATTAGTCCAAATGTAGTAAATCCACAAGCGATGATGCATTGTGACATTATTGTGGTAATAATTCGATTTTTTTGCACAGTTTTAACTTCATATTCAATTACCAAATCTTGATGATGTCTTGCCCTACACACAGGTTAAACACTCTTTTAATGGTTTCATTGTCCAAGCGCCATTGAACAAACTGCTTTTACACTTTGGTGCGATGCCTCATTGATTGTCGAATGAATAAAAGTGAGTGAGGAGTTGTAACTGGGGAAGCTGAGTAATGAGTGACAGAGGGCTGACGTACCCATGGTGACCGGAGGAATGACCGGGTCTGTGGAGGAGGGCTTGGCCTTGACTGGGATGGGCGTGGTCGGTCCGTTCACCATCACATGACCTGGAAAGGACAATAAAAATAGAAGTCTCAGAACATACTGTAAAGACAATACTGACGAGAAAAAGAAAAAAAAAAATCAATGAGGGTTATAAAGAGCATCCCCGAGGCTGGTATGGATTATAGTCTCGCCTTGCGTCCTCCTACATTTGCGAGTTAGAGGTATTTAGTACATCAGATACCCAAGATCTTCTTTGTCTTTTCCCTTTTTCCTTTTTGTGCAGAGTTAAACACCCCCTCCGGTGAAAACCTTTTCCATTTAATGCTAGAAGACAAATCATGAGCGAAACAAGCAGCCAGCGCCACGGTTCCCGCCTGGAAACTGCAGCGTGCTAATGTAGCGTCAAAAACACGGATTCTGACAGCCGGGGTTTCATATGTCACAAACCAAAGGAACCAATCCTCTCAGTTTGCAGGGTAGTGTTTCCTGCTTCCTTAATGTTCTTCAGAATCAGTTTCCAACATGTCACAACTTGCAGATAAGTTTTATAGTGATTTAGCAGAGTTGTGGGTGAGCAGGTGCACTGAAGGGTTTAGCGTAGAAAGAGGCTTCATGAATCTGCACACCTTAAAGTATTATTTTCATGTTTAAACCTTCTGAATGTGTAACTTTGAGACACAAAATCGAGTTTTCAGGGGTTTAATCAAACACCACAGAGGGAGTATAAACAGAAACTGTGAGACATCGCGAGCTATCATGTCAACAAGCTCAGCACATGTTGACAAGATAAAACAGTCCTGTGCCAGATATTACTCACAACAAAATGACATAACATGAGAATTATTGCAAGTGCCTCGTAGGAAAGCAAAAAAAGATATCACTGTAACACACGACTAAAAATGAAAATAAGCATCAAAATAAGCCAAGAATAGAAAAGGAGATACTTGCAATGATTCAGACTAAGTTAAGTTATATTACGCATGATAACAAACACTACACATATAATTGATGGTTGCGGCATTGGCTGTTTCTCGCTCTGCCTTCCCTCCGTGCCGGTGTAGTTCCTGTCCAGCTATAAGGAACCACATCTCTGCGCTGTGCAACATGCTCCAGGCAGCTAAACCCCTGAAAATCCACTGCTGTGTGTTGTGAGTGCTGCACTGCTTGCACACATGTTTATGTACCAAATCCTGACATTTTTGTGCAAGGAGGAGTGGGGCCATTTGTTTTTTTAATGTTAGACAAGGGCTTAGTAAGTCCACCTTGTATTTCAAGCGTACTGAAGACAGTCTCAAAATCATGGATTCAGGCCTTAGAAACCAATCCAGGGGCTTTCTTCTTCTTCAGAATCAGTTTCCAGTAGTAGTGTAGTTTCACAGTGTTTTAACAGACTTGCAGGTGAGCTGGTGTGCTCGAGCTGCAGCGAATGGCAGACAGGGAGTCGGGGAAACTAAATCTATAGATGTGTGCACACTAAAGGAGGCTTAAAGTTACATTAAAGCCATTTTAAGGCATGACGGGATTATTTTCATGGCAAAAAAAATAAACTCTATAAGTGAGACTGACGAACAGAGACGATATTCAAGAGTTCAGAAGAAGAGCTTAAGCTTTCACTGTTTGTATCTAAGCCTCGCTGGAAGGCGGAGAAGAGCCTACCATGGTTATATATGACGGTACATTAAATTATACCATTCACATCCATCAGTAGGTTGAGCCGCTCCTCTTTCATTTAGAATTATCTGAAGAAACTTGATTCTTCACACCATATTTCACCTTTAGCTCGCGAAAGCTTCTCTGACTAGAAGCCACAGAAACAATCAGGGTTTGATAGCTCTGTCCCAGATAGGTGGCTGCCGAGCATTAACCTTTTAATCTCTGCTTATAAGAGGCTGGATTTGTGCTGAAATGCAACGGCGGGAGTCAGAAGCGAAGCTGCAACGTCATACTGTTTGAACGCCAAATCGATTTCGCTTCTGTTTGTTGTTTATTTACTGACCCAGGTAGTGCAGCAGCTTCTGGGCTCGGTTCTGAGTGGGCTTGAGGTTGAAGAGCTCCTGGTTCTCGTCGATGAACTGGGTGTCCACGGTGGAGTGCAGGAACTGGTGGTTGGCGAAGACGTTCTGCAGGAAGGGGATGTTGGTCTGGAGAGAGGAGCACAAGAGGGGACCGTTAACTTTTTTCTCCTTACTGAGCAATTTACAGTTTTCAAATCGAATAAATGCAAATCGAAGCACATAGAAATACAAAACCCAAGCCGGCTCTGTTTTGCACTTGAAAGAGAAGGCTTTATTTGAAGAAAACACCGCGCTCAAGAGGTCAGCGCTTGACATTTGCGAATACAAAGCGCTCGGACGTACACGGTGGTAATAAGTAGTAGCCTCACGCAAACTTCATTCAATAACCGAAAACCTCAAACGCTGCACAATCTCAGCTTGAGCAGACAAACACACGCAGGGAACCGGGAGGAAGTCAACTGCTGAAAGTAATTACATTCCATTTCTATTTCGTTGTTGTTTGTTTGCCTCAAAAGTATTATCACGCCAATTAAGCTCTCCAAATTAACAAAGAGAGGGAGAGCGGACGGGAGAGAGGAGGGAGGGAAGATGTGTAATTGTTGGAGTTAATTTCATTACTTGATTTGTTGCTGATTTTTTATTTTTTTCTCCCCTCCACTTGTAAGCCCGTCTTAACAACGCGGATAGACGGCTTTGAGTTGTTGTAAGAGGAAGGAGACTGATGGAGAAGAGGAAGGAGGAGACAGATTAGTGGAAGGAAAATCACAAAAGGGGAGAAGAGTGAAAGGATGTGTTAATATATTCTTGGGGCGGCTTTAAACGTATTTATCAGCGTTTAACGTCCCCGAGGGAGGGAGGGAGGTAGAGTGAAGGAATGCAAACTGCGCACATGATTATTTCTCAAAGTTTTCTCAAAACGTCTTTGCACATGACCCGGTATATATTGGATTCTTAAGTGACATTTAAAAAGAAAACCCACTTCCACACATACACAGAGAACTTAGGGAGTCCCAGAGGACCTGCTGGGTTTTAGATATAAAGCAGCACATCCACCTCGCCGGCTCTGTAGATGCAGATCTGTGTCGCCAAACACGCCGCGCAGATGGACAGAATTTACAACCACAATTTCGGCGTTAAGCTGACAGTCAAAGCTGGACCGAGTTGAAGTAATTGCTACAGCATAATCACTCAGGAATCCCATAATTGGAAGAAGGGCAATAAACAAACCCCATAGACACACACCTCATTACCAGCACTGAGAGAGAGGAGGGGGATGTAGTGGAGAGATCAATGTGTTCGGGCAATAAAGCACATGTCAGTCATGCCAATAGAGCGACAATAAGATGCACACAGTCAGAATGGAAACAGATGGAAAGAGGGAACAAAATAAAAATCTCTCTCTGTACATATAAAGTATTATCAATACCAAAATAAATCTGAAGGAAAGCAGCCCATGTCTTGCCAGCTAATCACATCTCCAGCAGGGGAAGAAAGGTTTTCATTTTCCGAGGTGTACGGCGGGCACAAACACAGGATGACACTGTACTCTCAGCCCTCTGCCACAGGGAGCAGAGCTGGAGAGCAGAAAGAGAACAGAGCTGAGGGATTCACACGGCTTGTGCTGCTCCGCCAAGCCTTGGGCTGCAAGCTGTGGACCAGAACAAAAAGGGATTTCTGCCCAAAGACTTCAAAAAAAAAAAACAAACTCGCGTACGTCTCCTTCCCTTCCATTAGCGGCGTCGGCCGCCAACAATAACTGCATTAAAATATATGCTGCTGCCCCACATGCGTCTCCAAACTTCTATGTAAAATATGGAAGCTGTTATATAATACGTTGTTATTGGATGAAGAATTAAAGTTCGGACTCGAGGACGGCCAAATGTGGAGTGGGAAAGCCAGCTGGTTGGGTCTGACCACATTTGGTCAAAATGAGGAAAAACATATTAGCTAAAGAATCAAGCTGCTTTCCTTTAACATGTGTTACTGTTGCTACTAGCAGATTAGCTTAGCATAAAGAGCACAGTTTAATCCTGTTTATAAAAGGTGACAAAATCTACCTACCAGCACCTCCAAAATGGCTAATTAACATTTTACGTCATGTTTGTTTAATATTTGGAGCAGATTAGCTGTTTCCTGCAGTTTCCAGTATTTATGCTAAGCTAACTAGCTATTAGCCGCGGCTGCATACAAAGCAAATCAACATCTTTCCCTAAACATTCCTTTTGCCTGGTAACCTTGTACAAGTGGTAGATTATTGTAGGTTTGGAACTATCATCTTAGATTATAACAAATGGTTGAAAATCTTTTTTTTCTCTATATAAAAGATATTTTTTTGTTTACAGCAAATATTTGGTACTCATCCAAAAAGGATGACAATGTAAAAAGTTGAAAAAAATTCGACTGGCATTGGGGCGTTGTGGTGTTTCCTTAATTTCTTTCTTTTTGACGCCTTCTAAATCTATAATTTTATATTATTATGGTTATTGTAAATGTGAGAAATATGGTGCCTCTAAACGCAAAGCAGCCTCTGGACGTTTTCTGCAAGTTTTCACCAACAGTAGGCTCATTTTTCTCTCCAATATAAAGTCCTGCACCTCCAAGGGAAAGAGCACCATGCGGTCTAGAAGTAGAAAGCACTCAAGAATGCACTTTTGTGTAGTATGACACAGTTAAATGCCATAAAGCTTAAAAAAAAAAAGAAAAAAGCAAAGTTACATTTCTTTGGTTATTCACTGAAAAAGCCTGGAATCAACATGTGCAGCGTTTTCCAAGAAGCCCGCAGGTGTTACCAGAGCTGGAAAAATACAGCAGCTCCACATACTAAAGATCATTCACTACTGACTTCTTGATTTATTTGCATCCCTCCGTCTCCTCCGTGTGAATACAGCCTGCAGCTCTGACAAAGTGTCCCTGAATTTTTGCGATTGGGTTTTTTTGTTTTTTATTTCTCCCCTGCCAAAACTCAAAGTCACCGCTAATTAGTTCAAACACTGTCAGGAAGTTGAAAATCTGATGATTTTTCCTGTTTCTGCAGCTTCCTGCTCTGATAAATGGTGTAATTATGGTGTTTTTTTTTCTTAATAGAACAACATGGCAGGCAGGTGTTGGAGTTCAGAGGGTTAATAAATGTAACAATAAATCAAATCTAACAAATACGACTGGCAGGAGAAAAAACAACAACACATCTCCCAGGCAAACTCAGGTAACCATAAATAAAATATATAGAAAATCAAAATTCAAACACAACATAAAGTGGTGTCGGGGAAGAGGGAGCCTCCAGACAACCAGGATGAGGCTGGTCTTATATAACCCAGAGACAGCTGCCTCTAGTTTCTTGATTAAGTCCAGCTCCAGCCAACCAGGGAACCTGCAACTTTAAAGACAACACACACACACATACACACAACACCACCACACACCAGCTCTGGAAAAGGCCCTGGGGCCCTCACAGTAAACAAACTTAATAAGTGAGCACGAGGGGGGGGGGAAGCAATCAAAAGGTATAAATAAAAGAGGGATGTGGCAGGACAGAGACACGGAATGAAAGACAAGTAACACAAACAGTGGTTATTAATGAAAAACTCTGAAATAACGGAGAGGGACGCCAGAGACACCATTAATACATGGAGGTTTGTCCTTTTCCTCTCTGCTGTACCAGATCAATGTGTTCATTATCAGCCGGCTCTGTCTGCCCGTGGCGATCGTGCACACATTCCCTTCACTCTTTCTCCATGTTTCCTCTAATGATTTGTAGCACACGCTATAAAAAGACTCGCACACAGACACTTTGGGCTCTGCGTTCCTACCGCACAGTCTCTCTGCTTATTTTTCCATCAGTCTTCATCGCATTCTCAGTAGCGTCACACACGCACAAACACTCAGCAGAGGCCCTTCCCTGATTTGGATGCCCTGAAACAAGCACTCGGCTACAGCTTTCCGAGCGATGCGCACAGCATGCAGAGCGCACAGGCGCTTTCTTGCCAGTGTTGATTGTGGCTCCCAAATGCTTTTCATACTGTGAGCGCAAGCACACAGGCGTTTGAGTACTGTATTAGGTTCTAGAGCTCAGTAAAAAAACTGAAATAAAAAAATCCATTAAAAACAAAAACAAGCAAACAAACACAAAAAAAATAGTGAGAATTCAGCAGCAAAGGTGCCAGAAAAATTATGATAAAAATGGTGGATATTGTAACAAACAAATGTAAAAACGGCAAAAACAATGCCAATAATCTAAAATCAATACATTATTTAGCTGATTTCAGCACAGTAATCTGTATAATTTCACAGCCACACATGGTAAAAGAATGAAAATTGTTATTTGTAAAAGTACAAACTTTGTATTGTGAACATTATGTAGGGTTTGCTTTATTTCTTTACAGTCAACATATAAATAAATATTTTTTCAGTGATTTTACTAGATATAAACTGTAATTTAACAAAACAGGTAAAATCTGGAAAATCAGTTAGATTTTTTTTCATTTTTCCAGTACTGATTTTAATATACATACATAATTTTTCTTTCAAATATTCCCAAATATCTTTAAAATAACAATACTTTTGCTAATTCAAATGCGAAAAGAGAAATAGTTTGTAAGAATGTGGATTCTAAATTAGTTTTTTGAACAATTAACATGTAAGTCAATACCGTTTTTCTAAGATTTTACTTCATATTATCTGTTTAAATGGTTCAGTTTAAAATAATTTTCTATTTTTCAGCCCTCAATACACACAATTATTTTTTAAATACAGGCAAATATCTGAAAAATAATATTTTTGCTCATTTTGCTCAAAATTAGTGTAGTTTTACACTGCAAAAGAACAACACAGCATTTGTAAAAAAAAAAAAAAAAAAAAAAAGACACATTTTGTTTGATCTGATTCAACGGGGGAAAAAAAAAAAAAAAAAAAAAGACATAGACGTTATACATAGTTTATGGTTAACGTGAACTAATTCTTATTTCTCTGATTTTACTCCATATTATCAGCAATTTAACAAAACAGGGGCGATCTGCAGGCAGAATTACAGTTGAAAAACGTCCATTTTTTACAGTGTGGGAACCTGAACACAGCAAGGGTTCTCGTTCAAATCCACCCACACTCTTTCTGACGTGGACCGATCCCCTCCT